AACGAACGATGACATCAGAATTGACAGCAAGCACTGATTTAGTTCCACGTGATAGTGCGAACACATCACATTGTGATAGAATCGGAGTCAGTTTCATTAACTTCAAACAGTACAGACGTAGAAGGTATACTGCATACCTACTAGCTGCTAGCTAGCACTAGCGCCATCTAATCGTTACTAGCGCACTAGTTACCTTTGAAAGTTTCTAGCTCCATAACAACGCCGCGTCGTTCTTTTGTCTAAAAGTGATTATCTTGACAACACAGGCCAAAAATATGTACGTTTAGTATGAATAATTTTCTGGCAAAAATATTATTTGATTCTCTATCAACCGCTAAACATAAATTGTCTCACCCCGAATACAGTACGCCTGCCCAGGGAGGTACCAAAACGTAAATATAGTGGTGCTATAACCTCTCAAATGACTAAACTCATAACTTAGATTCAGACGCGAGACTTCCGGACTTATCCTTTCTCTCGTCCTGACATCTGGATTACGGGGAATTTAACGGCTAGAGGAAATTAGAGGAGATCTCACGAATTAATTGGGCACGGTCCTGCTGGCTCCGGACTGGCTTCTTGGGGTCGCCCGAAACGTCAAATTTTATTCGAGATGAACGGCGCCCTTTGTAATTCACCTCCTCCGTCGCATTTGCATGGTTATTGGGTACGAAATCCGCAGGAACTAATTCAGTTATCGCCGGGTATATTTCGGACGAGTTCAAAATGAAAGGGGACCTTTAGAAGGTCAGTTTCGGGGTTTGCGTGGTCGAATCAGGTAATCTTGCAGGCGGAAATTAACATCAAAATACGATCTTCCACTAGACGAAGTGTTTTCAAAAAACTAGATGGCAAATGTTAGTTACAGGCTTCTGTGGATTGTTAAAGTCGTACGGAAAACGGAGAAATTCGTGGTCTATTAAGAAAAATGGTTGGAAAAACTATGTTCGTCTAATAAAAGTATGATATGATGGAAAATAGAAGATACTGTTTCTCAATCGAGTCACACAAATTGTCACAATATTTACTCAATTAAGGTACAAATATTTTCCAACCAAAGCACTAAGAACATTAACGAAGAAAAGGAAGTCATTAGTAAGTCAAAAACTAAAAAAATGGACACATGCTGGTTCAAAGCGAATCTGGATTTTCTTGCACGCTAAAAACTAATCAGAATTCAGAGGGAAGAAGTTTTTCCAATTATTTATTTTGGTAGTAATTACTTCGCAATTACGAAGGGAGTTTAATCAATCTAATCACTTATTCAATAACACTTTGCTAGAAGTTCTTTATTATTATTTCATTACTTTTTACAACCTTGATAATCAACTTACTAAAATCCTATTAAATAAAGTTTATTCTCCCTGATACTTTAATTGAAAATGAACCCATTTTCGTTCTAGTCGGAAAAACAGTATCAACTCAATTAGTAGCTGATGGAGAATTAGTTGTAATCATCGATTAATTTGATTACTTTAGTCAGTACATACTCGCGCTAAACCTATTCAATTGAGTTGAAATTTAAATCGCCCATTTTTAAATACAAATCGATTGTCAATTATTACGCGTTTATTTGAATCACAGACTATTCTGGTAAGTTTTTTTATTCAGAAAGTAACCCCCCCTACCAATAGATTTCGTTCAATAGCGAAAAAATTTGACAATGTCCATATTTTCAAATAAAACTGATTTTATCCATAATCACCCTATAATCGGACTTTTATCCACACATATGAACCGTCCAAAGTGATACTTTTTCCACTAGTGGAAAAAATTTACTTAATTTCTCTAGTAGAATAATGAAAAAATAATAAACCTATAATAAATTAAATTTAATTTAGTTACTTATTAACATTATCATTTACATTTATAGTAATAGACATTTCGTGTTTTGTTTTACCACATTTAACTTCCTTTCCGTTAATAACAACCCTTGTAGCATTGTTGCCATCGTTTTTCCCTCCATTCGTTAAATTCGGCAAACACTTTTTCGTAATTTTCCCTGGATTTTACTGGCAATAAATGGAAAATTGCTTCTTGAGCTTCTTCAAAAACAGCCACAGGAGGCCAAGTATCGAACCCTGAGGCACACCTGACGTTTTATTAAATATATCAGATTTGTAACATTGGTACTGTACAAATTAAACACAATGGGAAAGGTAAATCATAATTTTCCTTAACAAATCGATACTTTTTCGGCGGTTTCCGCTGTTCGTGCAAAAAAGTTTCGACACGGGGCAGGAATTACGTGCTGTCGACATTTCTCAAAGCAAACATTAAACCCCCAGCCACCTCCCGCCCCCAGAACTTTCCGAAACCTAATTTAGTTAGATAATGTTGTTTTTCCCCCGATAAATTTGTTTCGACAGCGGGAAAATTATTTGTCGAAGTAAATTAATATCGCCAATACTTCGAGGTGCCCGGGCTTTGTAATTATCCGGCGGGGGGCGGCGAGGGACGGGTATCCGAACACCTCGAAAGGCGGTGTCTGTTGCCGGGAAATGGAATTTCTGCCAAGGCAGTAAATGAAAGGTAAAACGCTGATCTAACTGTAGAATAAATACGTTTTTGTTGACATGGCGGGAAGACGCGGCCTCGCCTTCCGCTGCCGTGCGGGGCGGGGGGAGGGGGCGAGGAAAATTAAGTTTGGGGGTTGAAATAAATTCAATTTGTCGGGAAAATCAATTTAGGCTGGCATAAATTTGGAGCAATTAAAATGAAACAAGATATTCAAATATTGATTTGCGGAAAGTGTTAAAAATATTTTAATTAGTCTAAAGTAGACAAAGAAGAAATGTTAACTGGTGACCTTTGATAATATTAAAAACATTTTTTAGAATAAATAACGTCAAAAAACTTGACGTAAACTGACATAAAACGCCTACTTAATTGTAATTGATTTAACAAATTATTTGAGTAAAATTTCAAAAGATTAAAACGAAAAAGACCAATATAAATCAAATGAAATACAACTATTAAAAAGTATAGCCAACTGCATAAGGACACCTCAAGGTGAAAATATGCGGTCCTGTTTTATAGCCTGTAATACGCCTACATTCTCATATATCTTAAATTTCTTCGTTGAAAACATTAGTAATCTATGGGTCATTCATATTATTAATTGAAGTCAATTGTACGAACAATGATTCACAGTCTTGAGATGTATAAATAAGCAATTTCTGTACTCTGCTGAATTATACATACAACAAAAATAATATGAAGAATAAGGCAGAAGATTATTCAAAAACCTTGACTTAACCTCGCAGGTATTTTGGTCCTTCGAGCCGGATATGTGACCTGGAACGTTTTAGTTCTGACTTTATTTAAATGAAGCGGAACAATGTTTTATATTAACCGTTTACGAAAGTCGTTTGTTATGTCCACTTAGATGGAAAAACGACGACGTTCTTAAACGAGTTTCATGTGTATACATGTAGATACTCCCGAGAACAATTAGTTTTGATTTCAATTACCCACATAAAAAAAATAATTATTTAAATCTAACACGGTGTTTTGAATTTTATCGATCTAAACTGCAAGGGCTTTGTTAAATCCTATCGGAACTAAACTCCATTTCCTCTATGGCATATCAATCACTGACCTTACCAACCACCACTAATCGCAGTCGATGCCCTTGGAACACCTCCGCTGAACCGATTAGGAGTAATTTGAAGTAGAACTTTATTTCACCTGCTAGCGCCCGTTGGATTTCGAATTTTGTAAACGTCAAAAATCGTTAATGAATATATTTCATACCTCCGCCTAATTTATGATAAAAATAATTGAAAAACGAGATACCAAACAACAGGTAACAGTTGTGTCTCAACTGGCAAGCAATAGATGGCGCGTTGTATTTCATGAAACAAGCAATAGATGGCACTATATGCAGGTATCTGATAAAAGATATATGAGCGATACACCCCATTACTTTAAATTAATAATTACACATTCTTGCAGCCGATTTGGAATAAACTAATTAACTTGCATTTTTGTAACCTGTCCGCCACAACGTATGTAGCTCAGTGTGTTGCTCAGTTGCGAATAAATAATTGGTCGCTCTTACATCATTCAGAATGTTTCACCTCATTCCTTTATTATGGAATCATATATTTACGTGCCGGGAACACAGCGGCGTAGTCACGGTGCTTCAAATTAACGTAAATGCTTTAAAACAAATCTAAACCAAGATAAGTTACGACCTATACTGGCATAGATTCATTTTTTAATTTTTCTACTCAGTTTTCAATTTTAATAATCATACCCACGCCAGAATAAACAAAGGAGAAACATAATTTATATGCTTCAGATGTGATTCAATGAGTTTTGATGCATTAATATGCTAACTTGGCAAAAATTTGGAACAAAGAGAATACTTTTTTTCATTATCTACGTATATATTTTTAAATATGTAATGTGTAGGTATGATTAATATCACCTGGCTAATTAGTAAAAAACGTACCTTCAAACTTTACGTTTTTCTTTTTCTACTCACAAAAGACGCCTCAATATAAAATATTTCCAGTCCGCCACTGTGCCCACTTACTTTTATTTAATAATTAACGGAATATCAACAAATTATAAATAATATCAAGATTTTATCGTGTCAAATACTGTTTAAATAACTGACAGGTAAATGGAACTTCCATTACAATACGACTAAGCTACCTATTTCAAAAAGCAACAATACAGGTTTTGATTGCAGCTCCAATTGTTTCTTTTTGCTTGACGTCACATTAAAATTTAATAAAATACGTATCAGTATCGTGTATCTGCAACCACTTGTACCCAAAATTATATGATAATAATGTTTTCCACGCCCTTCTGAATAAAAATTATCATAATAGATAATATGAAACATTAGTTAATTACTTAACTATCACAATTAAGGAAGCTATGTCTTTACTTTTACTGTTTTGTTTCCATTTGTCGTCAAATTCTTATTTTATTCTGTCAACATGTATTTTACTGTTGAGAAATGTTAGGGATAATGAAATGCATACCCTTTTCACTTGGAAGTTGTCGGTACGCAGCGTCTCCTGGATCTCCTGGTCTGGCCTGGAGGGCTGTGCAACGGAGTTGCGAAAATTGTCCAAAACGCCTTTGAAAGTGAACTTCTTCATAACTTCACGCCTGTCGTCCTTATCACGCCTCATCGCACCATAATTTTTTCACAGTCCGGAATTAAATCAAATACTCCAGCGAGTACAACAGTAAATTTTGAAAGATGCGATATCGCCAGCGATATTACACCATCCTGCAGCAAAAATATCGACTAATGTGGAGCTTTGGCTGAAATACGTCGCGTTCGGTACGGAATGTATACAATGCGCTCGAAACCCGGAGTTTTAGCAAAATATTCGCGGCAAGGACGTCGCGACGTCTATCACCTCTCGCCGTTCTCACCGACTTGTAGGAGTTTCGCAAAAAGTCGATAGCGGGATATCTCTGCTGAGTCCACACACTGCACAAAGCTGCGCTAAAGGGCCTTAACCGACAGCGCAAGCCGAATTTCACCCCGATTTGTCTTGCACTGGGATTAAAAAAACAAAAAACTAATCACACAACACCACGATAATCCGCGGATCACTCGATACACCTCAATCTTTTTGCACGGTGTACTTTATCAGCTCTTTAATGCATTGACAGATCGATACGCTACAAAAAATACCACATGTTGCTTTCCGCATCAAATTACGACATTCCTTATCTGACTCTGTCCTTTTCTAACTCACGGAACTGACGAAGAGCCCAGCAAATGGAGCGATAATGCGACACTACCTGTTACTAAAAAAACAACTACAACACAACAGCTGATTTGTGGCTTACCATGACCGAGTAGAGTTGAGTTTAATACAAATTTTTCATATTATTTTTTAAGTTTTACTTCAAAGACACTATTTTATCAGTATTTTAAAATGTTGTTTAAAGTTTTTATACAGAACTGCTCACTGATTTATTATCAACGACAACGTGAGTTGTCGAAATTAAGGTAGGTTATCTATGGCGCGAAATTCAAATTTTAGTATTGCAATTTTTTTTAAATACTTTCATTCTCTTAGGGAATTAAGATAAACTGTCAGTATTAACATTTTTATTATACCTATTAAATTTTAATCACCGAAAACATGTGCCAAACAGAAATTATATATTGCACAACTCGCACTCAATATATTTTTTACTGGGTAATATTTCAGGAAATATGGCACAGTGTTTACCGGTGCCCTTGCTTTCTTTTCTGCAAAAAAGACTATCGACACTTCACAATTTATGGCCTTACCTATTACTAACCTGGAAAAGCTCTCTTCCTCGCCTGAGGACATGAAAACAAAAGTGGAACTGATGATTTTAAAGGTGCAGTCAGAGGTTTGCAGGGCACTAGAGGCCGAAGAGGATTGCAACAAATTTATCATAGATCGGTGGGAGCGAACAGAGGGTGGTGGCGGCATAACATGCGTCCTCCAAGACGGAAAAGTATTTGAGAAAGCAGGAGTAAACATCTCCGTGGTCTCTGGAAACTTACCTCCTGGAGCGGCGGCACAGATGCGCTCCCGAGGCAAAAAATTAGAAGGACAACATTTACCTTTCTTTGCTGCAGGAATAAGTGCAGTAATACACCCGTGGAACCCGTTGGTGCCAACGATTCACTTCAACTATCGATACTTCGAGGTTAAAAGTGGCGACGAGGTACAATGGTGGTTTGGGGGTGGTACCGACTTAACCCCATATTATTTGAACAAGGCGGATGCCATACATTTCCATAAGACGCTTAAAGAGGCCTGTGATAAGCACGACAAAGGCTATTACCCTAGGTTTAAGAAGTGGTGCGACGATTACTTCAACATTCCTCACAGGGGTGAAAGGAGAGGGATCGGGGGCATATTTTTTGACGATTTAGACACCCCTTCACAAGACGAGTGCTTCGCTTTCGTCACGGACTGTGCCAACGCCGTTATTCCTTGTTATATTCCGCTGGGTAAGTGACACGTTTAAGTGAAGTGTAGAAGCGCCATCTGTTGTCGTTTTTCTGTACTCGGCTTCTTTTTTAGTGCAACGCCACAAAATCGCGACATACACCAAGGTAGAGAGGGAGTGGCAACTGCTGCGACGCGGACGGTATGTGGAATTCAACTTGATATACGACAGGGGCACCAAGTTTGGTTTGTACACCCCTGGGGCTCGGTTCGAGAGCATTTTGATGTCCTTGCCGCTTTACGCTGTAAGGGATTTGTCGTAAAAGCGATTAAAACGTTATTTAATTCTCGTCTGTTTTTAGAAATGGGAGTACATGCATAGTCCTCCAAGTGAAACACCTGAGGGTAAGCTTTTAGAGGTGTTGAAGAACCCGAAGGATTGGGTCGACTGTACCTGCGAAGATGAAAAAAAAGTCGAAGATTTGTGATTTACAATTCTATTCTTTTAATGTTATGAGTTTACACATGTAAATATATTTACAGAGTTGTAATTAATCTAAGCACTATTTATTTTTTAATAACATCAAAGCGAGTTCTTCGGCCTCGTTTACGGTTAACGAGGAACTGATCTGTTCGATTTTATGCTTCTTCTTCTTCTTTAACACCATGTTTAAGTCGTCGATCTTCCCTTTGGCCTTCCTCTTCTTAGATCTGCAAAAAAGTGACGTACTGTGTTACGAAAGGATACAAAAACCATACGTCATTATTTTTTCATTTACAAAATTTTGAATAAACGCTAGATTTCAAAACTGAATGTGAAATTTCCAATGTGAACGTGAAATTTTTAGTTAGGACTCAAAATTTCGTTTTTAAATGAGAAATTTTGAATTTGAAATAAAAATTTATTTACCAAATATTTCACATTTAAATCTGAAATTTCACATTCAAATCTGAAATTTCACGTTCAAATTTGAAATTTCACATTCAAATTTGAAATTTCATGTTCAAATCTAAAATTTCATGTTCAATTCTGAAATTTCACATTCAAATCTGAAATTTCACGTTCAGAATCGAAATTTCTTAAACAGAACAGAAAAAGTTTAAAAATTCATGCCCTCTATACATATTTAAGACTCTAGATTATTTTCAAGTATAAACACCTAAAATTACTAACTTTTCTTTAACGGCAACAGGTTCAGGCAACCCTTCTTCTTCCTTCGTATCTTCATCACTGCCCTCCAACAACTTCTCCACCTCCTCCTCAGTCTTCTCCCCATAAATCTTATCGGGATCAGGCAACCACGACAAGTCCGGTTCCTCCTCCGATTCACTCTCCCCAAAGTTGTCTTTCTCCACCTCTTCTTCTTCTTTCTTTTTCTTCTTCTTCTCCTTCAACTTCCTCTTCTCCTCCTTATGCTTCGCCTTGATCTTCTCCTTGAACATCTGTTTGTCGAACTTATCCTCTTCCCGTAACACCATTTTGGCCTTTTCTATGTCTATGCCTCCCTCGACCTCGTTTTCGTACTGCTGGGCGAGTTCGGATTTCCGCTCGTTCTTTCCCAGAATGACCACCCCTCCCTCTTCGTCGAACAGTATCTTCTTATTCGGCACGATTTTTTTCTTCAGGATCTTCTTGGCAGCCGCCGCTTTAGTCACGGGTTTTTTCTTCTTGCTCTTGCTCAGGTCGAGTTCGGCGATTTCTTGCTCGGTGGGTAAGTCGACTTCGTGATCCTTACGTTTCACTTTAAGCATGTCGTCGTCATCGCTGTTGTCGTTATCTGACACGTGGAAAGGGGCCGGGTTTGGCGTTCGGTGCGAATTATCGTCCTCGCTTAAGCCACTGTCGTCAGATACTCGCTTGTCGGTTATCGATGTTTTTTCTTCGTCCTCCTCACTTTCCGTGTTAAAATATGTTTTGTTGTTCTTAACGTTACTATTTCCCCTGTCTTTGTCCTTTTTACTGTTCCCCGTTCTGGCATTTAACCTTTGCAAGAACCTTATCCTCGGCGGAATGGCTAAACCTAACGAATGAGCAAAAGCGTCTGTGTTTAGGGCTTGTACGTCGAATATTTCCTTGTCTTTCATTAAAAACACCGCTTTGGCGTAAGAAACGAAAGCTCTCTGCGCCGTATCTTTCAACGTCGGGTCTTTCGCCAAGTAAGCCTCCATTTTTCGCACGGGATTGTTCAATTTCAACGGGTTTATCCTGAAAGCATTTATTTAACATCAAAATTAAATCTAAAGTACATTAAACGACTTACTCAATTTTTTCTATGGGTATTTTCCTTAGTTTGAGGTTATCCACCATCTTTAGTTCGCTAGGCAGCAGCATTAGCATGCTTTCTCCCCCTCGGTGGTACCTGGCGGTTCTACCGACTCTATGAATGTACGTGGCAGCGTCTTCAGGGCAGTCCACTTGCACCACCCAGTGTACCTCCGGAAAATCTAAACCTCTGGCGGCTATATCAGTCGCAAACAGTACGGCGGACTGTTTTTTGCAGAACGTCTCGTATATATCCATCCTGCGAAGTTGGTGTAACGTTCCGTACAACGCCATGAGGCTGATGCCTGGCCTCAATCTTAAAAATTTAAAAAATTACCATTACCGCAACAACTAGCCGAACTTAGAGATGGCGATCATCTCACCCTTAAGCTCGACTAACTGTCTAACCGTACAAATACAAGACCGTTAGTGATATCTCGGATAATACTCACTTGCAGAAAATCTCGTAGATATATTTGACCTGCTTGCAGCTCGAAAAGAACACAATAACCTTCTTATTCGTGTGATTCCGTAGAAAACTCCAGAGAACGGAAACCTTATCTTGCAACTCGCACACCACGTAACTCTGGGACAATTCTTTGGGTGTGCTAAACTCGGAATGTTCGTGGACGCTTATGTAAGAAGGGTCTTTTAAGCTCAATCTCGCCAAATCTTTAACAGATCGTGTCTGGGTGGCTGAAAATAGTAACGTTTGCCTTTTCGGAGGCAAATTAGCAATGATGGCGTTCATTGTTTGTTCGAAACCCATGTCAAGGCACCTATCCGCTTCGTCCAACACCAGTATTTGCATATTAACACAGTCAAATAAGGGATTTTCGTCCATATGCTGCAGTAACCGCCCAGGTGTACAGATAATTATGTTACATTGGTCCATACGGTTTCTCTCGAATTTCAGATCTTTTCCACCGATAATCAAACCTGCGGAAAAGTCATGGTGCTCTCCGATTTTGCGTAGCGTTTCAAATATTTGATAAGCCAACTCGCGAGTCGGTGTTATGACTAAAGCTCCTACTCCGTCCAATTTTGTCCATTGTTTGCAGTATAATTTTTCTATAATAGGGATTAAAAAGGCCAGAGTTTTGCCGGATCCAGTTTGAGCTGCTCCTAGAATATCTTTCCCTTGCAAAGCTAAACCTATAGCTTCTTTTTGAATCTCTGTCGGTTTGTGGTAACCACATTCTCTTAAGCCTCTAAGTGTTTTCTGTGACAAGGGAAAGTCGCCGAATTTTGTGACAGTAGACGAATCGATCTAAAATGAAATGGTGAATAAAAGCTGTTGTAATGAAGATTCTCTTACTTACAGATTCGTATTTAGCTTGTAATTTTTCAATAATGTTCGCCTCAACATTCTTTTCATTCTTTTTCTTCGTAAATACTTTAACTTTGGTTTTGTTTTTATTTTTCTTCCTCTTATTTTCTGTAAGTCCCTTTTCCTTTGACATTTTGTTTAGCATAAAACAACAAAACGTGCATAATTGAGGTTAGACCAGCAGGGAATGCAGCTTAAAAGAACAAAAATCCCTAAACTTGAAGTTTGCACTTTGCAATTTGGCAAGGATATTATAATACAAAAGGTTCACTAATTAAAAATATATCATAATTTTATCATTCAAGTATCTGTATCCAATATAATTAATTTAACTAATCTGTAATCAATTAATTAAATAGTTAGTGACGTAATGGTTTAATCGTACATTATTTTCATGTTTCCTATAATTTCGATGACTTCGATTGTTATTACCGAATTTTTTTAATTAGTAAACCTTTTAACATATGTTCTGAAATAGAGGGAAGGACAAATGAAATGACAAACATTTGTTTAGTGGTCGAGATTGAACTGTCATTTCTCAAGATTAAAAAAAAAAGTATAAAAAAAGAAACAAATTTTAAGTTAATTGGGTATTAATTATGGCAGACTTTAAAGTGATCACTTCGGATTTTGTAAATCTCCACATCTCCACTTCGAAGGATGAGATATCTTTCAGTGAAAAGCGATTTCCGAAAGACTTAACCATTTCGGACTTAAAGGTAGGTTAGAATAACCAATTTTTGTTCAAGAAACTCATAATCAAATTGCAGGCAAAACTAGAACTAACGACTGGAGGTAGCTGTAACACCATGCAGATTGAAGCATACACGAATGATAATAAGTTAGTATGTAAACTAGAAGACGACAATGCGCTCCTAGGCTCTTACCCTTTGGAAAACGGCATGAGGTTGCACGTTATAGACCAGTTCCAAATCAGAAACGAATTAGATTTTGGTAATGAGCCAAAATTTGAACTGTCAGAGGAAGAATACTCGAAGAAAAGTGATTCGGTCCGTGCATTTTTGTTAAAAAATAAATTAGGTAAGGTAAATTGAGTGACTCGTTAGAAAATTATTACGAAATATGTATTTTAGGTAAATATAATGAAGAGAATCAAAAGAAAAAGGAATTACTAGAAGCCGAAGAAAAGAAATTAGCAGAAAGTACTATCGTTGGGTCTAGGTGTAAAGTTACCATACAAAATGCGCCTCATAGGTTAGGCACCGTGATGTATTCCGGATCTGTAGAAGGTTTGGCCGGGTACTGGATTGGTGTCAAATACGACGAACCACTAGGCAAGAACGACGGAAGGTTAGTGCAAGTTCATTTAATTAAGATAGAAAATGTACTTACTTTTTTTTTCTGGTAGTTTGAAAGGAAAGAAGTATTTTGATTGTCCTGACAAATACGGAGCTTTCATAAAGCCACACAACGTCCTGTGTGGCGATTTTCCAGAAGAGGATTACGATTTGAACGAGGAGATCTAATTATTCCTTTAAATCGAGCCATTCCAATCTATATATAATTTTTTTTAATTAAAATTTATGCTTCTAATATTGTGATGCTTAGTGTTTATCAGAAGTATACTTATACCCTTTTTCACATATTAATTTGACTTAGAATTTACAAATTAATTTATTATTTTTTTTTTAAATAAAATGATTTAACATCACATATTTTTATTTCTCTCTCGCCACCATGAGCCTTATTTTATAAATATTCTGTATGTGGATGCAGTCTGGTTGCACAAAGCACAGAGTTAAAATTATCCCGAAATTTCAACACACTGATCCAGTTGTTGACATTAATTTATACGAGCTAATAAAACTACACATAAAATAGGGCAGAACACACTTAATTTAACCAGCTAACCAAAATATCGACCATTGCAATGTTCAAAATACACATTATTTTGCTTTTTGCTGCACCTTTTCGCATAGAAAGTTTATATTTACCAGCAGGTAAGAACGAAACAAATTTTTAAGGTGTGTTTGTTTCACGTGATGATTTCTAGACCTGGAAAAGGTGGAAGAAATCCAAAATGCCATTTGTTCCATCACAACAAAGGAAGTCGAGGCGACGGCAAATGCGACGATAACTCGACAGTTGAAAGGGGTTTGCACCTCAAGTAAGAATTTTAAATACTTTTACTTAATTTATTAAAAATTGTCGTTCTAGACGAACTCAATATGAAAATCGATAAACTACAGACCAAAATACAGCAGGAAATCGATGGCATCAGGTATATTTTAGAAATTAATGGTTTTAAGGTACCGGACGCGCCTTCTCAAACTGAAAATCCCACTTCTGACGAAAAAAATATGGAACTAGCAGTGGCAACACCATTTTTTAAAAGCGGTGATAGTCTGTCGCCGCGACTGGAGGAGATCTTGATGTACAACGAAACTATAATTGACTCGGTATACTTCTATTACTGGAAAATCCGGAATATCCACGATCTCTTAGCCAAAAGCGACATGTACAAATCGAGCCCAGAATTCAACGTCCTAGGTTTGTATATTCCCTCGGAACCGCTGACCACTATTTTATTCCATTTTTTAGGCCATTCCCTGCTTTTGCAATTCTACCCAAACTACTTGGAACCAGAACACTTTGCGGTTGTGTTGAAATCGGACAACGCCGGGTTTATAAAGAAGCACAAGTTCGTTATTTTGAACCAGTTAGAACCCGGGACGGATCTCGCTTCGGGAATTTTGTACGGATTGAAGGGCGAGGATCGAACGTTGAGAGTATCGGAGAAAAATTTGAAAGTCGAAGGTTTCATCGTTCGGGATACCATGATTGTTAAGTTGGAGATATTTTTGAACTCGTAAAAAAAAAGTCCAATCGGCGTTTCGATGTGTTTTCGGGATCTAGTACAGTCATTGAAGCTTTTCACCTCTGAATTCTTTGAAACTGAACCGATCGACTTGAAAATTGACAGATAGCTAGAGGGAAGGTCAATGAACATTAGTGACATAGCGCCGATTGACGCTTCCACCCTGTTGGGGGTTGACACCTCCTCTCAGGGGTGGAATTTTTTTTTTAAATAACGCTGGAAATCGATAGAGAATCAAATTTTGAGCAAAAAATATTTCAAAATCAATAGTTTTTTAGTTATCACGATTGAAAACTTGGAATTTTGAGTAAAAAAAAAAAACTCAAAGTATTTTTCGCGAATAACTCAAAAACTACGCATTTTATTAAAAAAAGTGTAATGAACAAATATGTAGCTTATATATAAACGAAGAAAATCGTTTTTTAAAAAGTGTTGTACGTCCTATACAAAGGGAAATGTGGTTAGTGGAAGGGGACTTGTTTTGGGGGGAATATTCGAATCGATGTATTCAACGTCAAATAACGGAAAAAGGATTAATTTTACGTGTATAACGCTCCTGGAGTTTCTTGTAGAACTCAAAAAGATCTTCAAAATGAGCACTTATAAAAGTTAATTAGAGCAAAATTGAAGGAGTTATCGTCAAAAACAGATGGGTTGTTAAGGAAAAATGAGCAGTAAATGCTGTACCATTTCCATCAGAATTAAAATTAATCGTAGACCCTTTACAATTAGTTTTGTTTTAGTGTTTTTCATACGATCCTGAAGTTAGACCGGTTTAGAATGCGTATTTTTTGAATAATGTACGGTAAAAGTTGAAAACGTAATTTTCATTATTCAAAAAAAATTCATATCACTCTGAAACTATGAAAGATACGTAAAAAATAATAGACAACAAAAATGTAGCCTTTTTTTCAACGAATATATTTTTTTATTCCTATAGCATAAAAATAAAGGAAGATTTGTATCAATAAAATGCTTAAAACTTAATTTTTTCAATTTTTTTCACTTAGGGATAGTTTTTACCCCGAAAGAAACAAAAAGCGTCAATCGGGCTTACGTCACTTTTGAACTTGAGCCTAAGATGAGCCTTATTCTAAATTTTCATGCAAATCCATGCAGTTTGAAACAATCGGGAGGTTACAGCTGATTTTCAGCTTCGATGACTGCACTAATCGTTTGAATGAAGAAAACGCAATATTTCCAATATATTTATTATTTATTTACTCAAAAGTTTGTTATTGTAACACTTTAGATAAAAACGTTGCGTCTAACCTGTAAAATGTAAACGATTTAATATTTTCGAGGTAGGAAGATTTGATTAAACCAGCTTTAGCTCGAATTTTACTTTTACCCCATAAAAATTAAGATGGAGCCTTAATAAATGACTACAAGCTGCATGACCAGTAAAATTAAAAAAAAAGAAAACGTGAGATTCCATGCAATCGACGATCGCACTGTATCTGCCGATATACGGATTTTTAGTCGACAGTACCAACCGTGCAATGTTGGTCGCCTAAGCTCGGTGTCATGGGGCTCGTAGTCATTTAAAAGGCTCTAGTAGACGATAACGTACGGAAACTACATTTAAGAAGATAAAACGTTACAATTATTCATACGAATTAGTCACCTTGAAAAAGTTAACATACAACATTAAATATATTTTCAATAACTCTGCATTTAATAATAAAAAAAAAATACTGTCGACTACATTTGGATTGCGCTAGATTAAAAATGCCATGGTGTAACTTTTTTAGTTTATAATAGCCCCATAGTTTAAAAAATTGTCTCCGACCAGTGCTAGAGTGGTAATTGACATCTTACGAATAAAAATAAAGAAAAAACAAAGTTAAAACAATAAAAAATCGCGGCGCGTCAACTAAAATAAAGATTGTAGGCGAGGACCAAAAAAAATTAATTTATCCTTAACCGCTACGGCGTTTATCACAGCTTGCACTTGTTCCCCTTCCGGGTGATGTTGATGTAAGGTTGCACCAGGGGGTGCATCTCGTGGCTGCTCTTGAAGACTGTGATGTCGCTGATGACCGCTGGTTGCGGCTTGTTGTTCTCCGGGGTGTATTCCTTCTCCGCCACTTTACCCGCTCCCCCTTCGGCCGTCGAGACGACGTGAACGGAGAGCTTCTTCCTCGCGTCGGCGGTGTGGCTAAGTAATCCCTGAAACGACGAAAGTGAAATGGAAAACAATGTTTTAATTTCACGATTTCCTACCTTGTAAAACTCTATTATGTCGTTCTTCGACAGTGTCCTCAAGTAAGCCACTTCGACGTTCGCCCTGTCGAAGTGGTACTGCTGCGCCGTTATCTCCGACCAGTATCGGTTTGTTTGCGTGGACAGCTGTTTGGGTTTTTCCAACCGTTGGGCAGCCAGCGCTTCCCGGTGCCTCGAGAACTCCTCGTCGCTCATCTCGTTTATGTAATCCTGAGAAATCGCAAATCGTTACCTTTTAACCGTTTGCGGAAGTCGTACGTACCAGCATGTTTTGCAGGAACTCTTCTATCCTGCTGTCTAAGTACGTCGGGTGCCTGTCCGACTGAACGATAATCCGCAAACCCTGAACGCCGTTGGACCTACGCACGCCGCTGAACACTATATACCCTAGCTGTTCCTGGAACGAAATACAGCGTTCGTAGCGATACACCGTAACGCCGATTCGCTTACCTTGGTTCGCAGGATGTTAAAGCAAGGCTCTTGGATGATTTGAGCAAATAGTTCCAGTTTAACGTTATTTTCTTTCGACTGCAAGCCGCACTGGTAGTACAGCTCTATGCAAGAAGACTTGTGAACGTCGTTCTGCACTTCGTACGAGTAATGGCAGCCACCCTCCAACTTCAACTCCCTGTTCAAGAGCAACTGTCTGGGAAGCAGCGGCGACATATTCAAACTGGACGTCAGGTGATCCTCGACGATATGCACCAACTGAATCGCCTTTTCCTTGTTGACGTTGCCGTGCACCAACGACTCGATATGCATCTTCGACAGTATCTGCGGGATAAACGCCTCCAAACGGTCGATGGTAATCTCTGAAAGAGAACAAATTCATTACCCAGTCAACGCCCGAAGGGCAACTTACGATCCGTCGCGGCCAACAGTTCTTGCTTCGTCCAAGAGTGCTCGGTTAGTAAAACCGTCAAGTAATACACCGCGTGCTGGTACGGTTGTTCCGCGGAGAAGTTCTTCAAGTTCCTAATGTACTAAAAGGAAAAAAATTAACGATGACGCCACAGAAAACCCGACAGCTTACATTTTCCTTACATATATTGAACCGCTTCGGGTCAATTTTGAAGTTTGTTAGTTTCTCCATGATTTTCTCCAACAGTATGTGCTGTTTGTTGTTGTAACCTCCAATTCCTAGCTGAAATTTCGACGTAAATGATTTCGAAGGAAAAACAAGTGAAACCGACTCACAATCAATCCGTATTTTGTGTTGATCAGTTCCCACTTGAGCCCGGCGAGTTCTGCGGCGTAGGCGTATTCGTTGAGGGAGTCCCGGAACAATTGGACCAGCATGTGGGTGAGATTGCAGTTTAAGGGGTCCAGGTATGCGAGAGGGCTAAAAAATTTTGAAATACTAAGGTCTATCCCAGGTCTTTGCTTAAATTATAGAATCGGCAGCCAAATGAATGTCTTTATTGAGGACATCTTCAAGACGCTTACATAAAACCCAAAATATGTCGCGGTTATTCCGAAATTATAAAAAATATACATAAAAATAGTAATATTAAAATATTTACAAAACGAACAAGCAAAATAAAAAAAAAGGACAAATGGCAAATAATTACAACTATCATTTTTTAATTTTTATTTCAATTTTTTAGTTTCTATTTGTATTATTTTATTTATATTGTATTTAATTTAATTATTCACAATTTTATTTAAATTTATCCCCTTTTTTAAGTTTTTAATTTGTTAATATCTTAATATTATGATTATTAGTATTGTTTTTGAAAATTTTCATCAAATACGAACAAAAATAAACGAAAAACGAAATTATTATTTTTTTAATCATGAAAATTTCCAGTATCGTCGAATATTTTTGTGAAAATGCTTCAGTTTCTCGAAAATTCTCTTAAATACTTCATACTTTTCAATATTTATAAAAGCAATATTTAAAAAAGTTGGACTTTTATATAATTTTTTTAAAAATTAAAACTTTATTTCCCATAATTAGCATTGAGGTCAGAGACTTATGTGGGAGAGCGGGTGGCATATTATCACTCAACAGGTCACATTTGCATAAAAAATAACACCGATTAACAATGAAATCATTTGAAGGACAAAAAAATGATCCGCGAGACTTACCTGACGAAATCGAACATAAGGTTCGCTTTGGGAAGCAGAAACTGGTCGTCTTGTTTAAACCAAACCCTAGTTAAGGCCGTATCCTCGATAATAGCCGGGTGTTCCGTCACCTAAACATGCATTTAAATAAATTCGCTCCGAAAAAATTCTGAAAATACGTACATCCTCGTCAAGCGGGTATAAATGAAAGTCTGTAGGAATAAACTCGTTTTTCTCCGGCATCCTCAAATCTGGACACAAACCGGCTCCGTTCCAATCCTAAAAAATAGAATCGTTTGACGTAACACGAACAATTTAATATCCCGATAATTACTTTGATTGTCTCTTCGGGAATATAAGTTTTCTTGTATTTCGTTCCGTACCAGGGCTCCTCTTGGTCAAGGTCCTTTTCAAACTTCTTTCCTATGACCGCTATCCTAAGGAGTTAATAAATATCACGTACATACTGACAAATAAATGGTTACCTTTACCTAACTTTATCCGGGACGAAATTACTCCACACCTTCTCGACGAGCTCAGGTTCCCATTCCGATAACATATAATTCGCATACAAGATATGCTCCATGGGATATTCCTGCAGGTTATGCACTAAACTCGATATATACCCCCTGGGCGACTCCTTATCCTTAAACCTAAATATCATCTGTCCTATGTCGCGGTTCTCGTCCTGCACCCATTTCTTCGGGCCTTCCTTCTTCAGCATGTTCAAGTACTGTAAAGTTAAAACCAGTCATTTCCCAAATAACTCCAAACCGCTCAACTTACTTGAAAGATGAGCTTCACGATATCATCTACGTGCTTTATGCCCTCTTCCGTCAAATCGACGCCTACTCCAAAGAACCCAAAACCCCTCGGAGCCGGTTTACTACCAGCCACCAGGTTACTGGACCATCCGCGAGCTTTAAGCACTGATAAAATGCTTCCGGGGCCCTCATGTCCCACTAAATGGCTAATGTAATGGCCAGGCTTAAAATAATCGAATCCAAATATATTATTTAAAAGTACAGCATGTAAGTCGGGCTCTGTGGAATTATTTTAATTCCAATATCACTGATTATATAGCACAATGTAACGAGCCCCTGGATTTTTCTAGCATAGTGTACAGAAAAATGTATAGAGGCGTCACTGTCGGAAAAATAGGTATATTTCCTGTGTGATTTTTCAATTAAGTGAGATTAACAGTGATTTCAAAAACAACTGTAACTGTAAATTCATTATAAATAACTTTAAATTTGCCGCCTAACATTTCTTGAGCTCAAACATAGTTAACGGCAGAAGAACAATAGATGGCTCTGTCAGTCTCATTGTTGTTGAAAAAGAAAGGTTCATCTGATTTATGTTGTCTATGGGTCAAACTAACCTCAAAAAATATAAGTTGACAGTCATGGAATTTACTGATGAATATGATCACAATGTGCCTGGTGTAATGTATTTTCCCAAAAGTTTGCCATGTAAAGAAGTCCAAGATTTATATAACTACACTCTGGATGGTTGTAAATGTGAAACGGAATGCACAAAACATAGTGCATGTTCTTGTATCGGAAAAAGTGGTACTTTTTACAATTACGATAATATTTATGACACCACAAGTTATATGATTCACGAAAATACTATAGACAGTCCGACGTATGAATGTAACGAAAACTGTTCTTGCAACAAAAGAGTTTGCGGAAATAGGTTGGTCCAGTTTGGGCCCAGAAAAAACTTAAAAATCCAGTTTTGTGGAAACGGTAAAGGCTCGGGCTTATTCACGGCAGACGAGATAAAAAAAGGCAATTTCGTTTGCGAGTACGCTGGTGAAATAATCACAGAAAATCAAGCCTTCGCTAGGTTTAGCAGCAACAGCGAACAAAATAAAATGAATTACATCTTCTGCATAAAAGAACACTTTGGCGAAAAAGAAGTGAAAACTTTTATAGACCCATCCCACTACGGAAACCTTGGTCGATATATAAATCACAGTTGTGAACCAAATTGCAAATTATATGTCGTAAGAATAAACGACGCGATGCCAGTTTTAGGCATCTTCGCTAATGAGGATATCAAAGAAAACAGCGAGATCACTTACAATTACGGAGAGGGAGATTTAGGCATTGATAATTGTGGAAAATATGTTAAGAAAAAATGTCTCTGTAACAGCCAAGGATGTAGAAAATATTTACCGTTTGACGTATCGCTATCTACATAATTTTATATGCCTACTTACCGCTGACTTGTAGAATTCCGTGAGATCCTCGCAAGGAAAAACAATGTTGAGATTCCGAACATCCTTCACGGGACTGATATAGACCATAGTTTTAAACTGGTCTTCCTTAAACGGATGAGTTTTCCAAATTGGTGCTTCTACGCTTTTATTTTCTACCGTCGAAAACAACTCCACGACCATTTCTTCTAATTCGTCGAGACTTTCTGTAGGGAAATATATGCATTTAACATAAAACGAGTTAACTATTTTTTATCACCTACCTTTTCCTAGTACAGCTAAACACATGATATTAGACGAGTACCATTTACCATGAAATTCCAACAGCTTTTCCCTCACATTGATGCCCTTTGCTTTTGGAAGAGTGACCAAAGTGTATTTGTTACCTAAAAATATTATTAAATCATTGAAATATTCCACAAATACGAATTTTAGTGATTAAACCTGTTCCAAAGGTATTATAGGGATGATCTGGGTCAGAAATATGCTTGTCCAGCTGATCCATCCTCCAAACATCGCTGGGAATATTTTTTTCATGTTCAGAATTAACCGCATTTATCTCGCGCTCACTAGCACTCTCAGTAAACAGAGGAGCGACAAAAAATTGAGAGAACCTACAAATCACGATCCAAACATTTGTAAAAATATGTGTGTATAGCGATTACTCGTACCTGTCCAAAGCAGAAGAAAGTTGTTCAGGCACAATGTCAAAATAATAAATAGTATGGTCCGGGTAAGTGGCTGCATTACTGCTACCCCCGTGTTCACTCAGAAATTTGTTATAGTCATTTTCATTTGGGTACTTCTTTGTACCCAAAAACAACATATGTTCGCAGAAATGTGCCAGACCAAGAACTTCCTTTGGATCACTCAAAAATCCTAAAATAACAATGACTATCCATATGCTACACAATACATTATAAAAACATGTACACTTACCAACGTTTACGTCCATAGCAGCTGCAGATTTGTCAGTGTTAGGATCGCTCACGAGCAAGACTTTCAATCGATTTGTTAATTCTAAACCACGATACTGTCTCTTGTCCTCCTCGGATTTGATTATATCGTCAATTCTACGTAGAATTAAGCTGGGGTTTGCCATTTTCGCTTCGGCCTGTTTAAATATTCCCACGGTACTGAAAAATGACTTTTAAAAATATTGCAAGTAGGTGACGTAACCTCAATTATACCTGTACAAAAATATCGTGGTGCGGATTTGATAGCCTGATATGGATTTTAGCAGTAGTCTGGTGTGCTTTAGGAACTGCATTCAGATTTTCTTGGAATTAGAGGTTCTGCGAGAAATGTTATCAGTCGAAGAACTAATTTTTACCGCGTCTGACGTTTACATTTTTGACATTTGGGGCAATGACCAAAGATGTAGGAAATATAGAAATAAATGGCAATGAACACTAAATGTTGGAAATAGTATTCTAAGTTGCTTTCGTTTGTAGAGCTTGTCACACCTACAAGCACAATATAAAACTCACTGCACAAGCAGTTACTTTTGATTTTGGGAAAAAAAAGGGAAATATGTTGCGTAACCATTTCTTGTCGGCAACAGAGGAAAAAAATTAGATATTAAATTTTTATGCTATTTTGAAAAAATATCTAAATAAAAAAGTAACTGTGACTGAATTTCTTCATCATTTCTATTGCTAAAGAAACTAGATATACCTTTCTTTAAAAAATCTGATTGTGAATCGGCAAAATTAAGTTTCGCGAAACTTTAAACCCATGAGAGTGAATTAATTGACCGATAAGAAACTTACAATTAGTTTAAAACAAAAGTTTATTTTTTACTTTACGAGGTCGAATCTAATAGTACATTATTAACTCAATAATTCTACCTTAAAATAAAAAGGTTATTTTTTAATACAACAAAAAAATTAAAAAATATCGCCCGAGCAGGGACTTGAACCCTGGACCCTTGGATTAAAAGTCCAATGCTCTACCGACTGAGCTACCCGGGCACTGAAACAATAGTGTTTGCTATGTTTATTCCCACTGTTATAAAATAATTTTTTAGTTTAATAAAATTTTATATTTAGATAATACTATAGGTTTTGTGAACAAATTATTTCACATCTGCAGTAAATAAAGCATATATAAAATAAATTTAAAGAAATTAGAGAATTTTGTCTCTTCCTTTTTATTCCGCAATTATTTTTATTTATTTATACATATCTTTTTTATTGACCATTTTTTTAATAGATATACTGTAAATTTAAGAACTTAGAAATATTTTTGTGTTATCTAATTAAATACAGACCTTTCAATATATTTCTGGTAAAATCTGTAATAAACAATATGTTATACATAGAAGCATCCACCTCTATTTGGCAACTACTCGAATTTGTTTAAGAACAAGTACAATGTATTATTAATCCTGTATTATAAGTATTATACTATTTGAAGATTTTTAGATAATATCGGGTATTAATAAACTACGAAAATAAAATTCATACCTACCAATTTTTGTAAAAAAAATTCTACGCAGTGTCATATGGGATAACTTTGTTATATTATAGGTGCATGCTTAGTAAAAGTAACAGTCAAGTAAAAAAACATGTTTTTCTAGCAATGATGTAAAAAGCTATTTAAAATAGTAACGTTTTCAATAGGTAAATAACTTCTGGTTTATTTTCGTACTGTAAACAAGACGTCTTTAAAATATATTTTTAATCAGGTATCTACGAAAACGTTCTGCCAGCACTATATATTTCTTATTTTACTACTGCATAATATTTAAATAAAAAAATAAAATAAACTAAGGTCCCACCGAGATTTGAACTCGGATCGCTGGATTCAGAGTCCAGAGTGCTAACCATTACACCATGGGACCTCGATGCAAACAGTCCATTTTACATCGTCAAGTGTATCGACAACTGTAAATTGTTATTTAAACGAGTTTTATATTATTTTTTAATAAAATAATATACTCAATAGTCTAATCACAAATTAGTTGCTGTTAACTTATTTTATTTTATTTATTAAAAATGAATCAACATAATGGTGGTCACATGACTACGCGACTTTGATCACGATTCCTCGTGGGAGCGCCGGTAGCGGGTAGCGGCACAATTCTATCGTGTTTTGTTTTGTTGCCCTTCAAGGTTATGTTCATTCATCACAAATTCTTCAAAATTGACAGTCCTGTGAGTGGTTGCTCCCTAACGTGCTGAATGTTTTAGTTTCCCTGTTTCCCTATAAAGGAAAATGTATGAATCCCCGTTTAAAATCTAGTCAGAACATGTAAGCACTTAGAACATTCCTCCTCGTTACATAAAACCCCGTTTCGACACCTCTTGAACTAGTTTGAATATCCTTCAGGACAACATGCCAAAATTTTTCTCTGACACCACAATTTTTAATTACAACTGGGACCAAGTCGCTCAAGGATTCTGGAAAAGGTACCCCAACCCCAACAGGTAGGATAAATATGAATAAAATGTCATGTTTTTTTAAACATTGTGTGAAAATTACAGCAAACATGTTCTTACGGAAGATACAGTACAGCGAGAAGTCAGATCGGGAAGATTGTTCACTAAAAGGCTTCTCAGCAAAACTAACAGCATTCCGAAATGGGCCGAGAGGTTTATAACTGCCAAGCATGTCAATATAATCGAAGAGAGCATCGTGGATCCCAAAAATAAGGTGCTCGTGACGTACACGCGAAACCTGGGATATGCTAAAGTTATGGTAAGTTTCCGAGGACAACTTAAGTATTATAATTAATAGACACATTGTAGAGTGTGACGGAGAAAGTTGTTTACAAAGAAAGCGAGGAACATCCAGGTAAAACAGTAGCTTTAAGATCGGCATGGATCGATTCGCAAGTCCGAGGGTTCAGCAGGGCTATCTGCGCCTTTGGTTATGAGAGGTTTAAGAAGAACTGCACTAAAATGGTGAGTACTACATTTGTTACCACGGAGTTTTGTGTTTATTGCAAAATATATTAAGAGTAATTCGGAGAAAATTGTCTTAATAGAATGGCAAGTGTTTGATACTAAAAGTAATGTAAATAGGCCATTGATTATTCAGTGTAAACAAATAATTAAAAGTTCAGTATCAAAGGTCAAAGAAATTGGGTGTTAGTTAACAGTGGTGCGGTGTGGAATTTGGAATGTTAATTACTCGGCGATTTTTATTTTTTTTTCAATTCCCGAATCGTTGTCAGATACTGAATTCAATGCCATGTTATTTATAGCTTGCAGTAATGATATAATTCAGAGAACGGTGAGAAAAGTGTGGTAAAAAAATGCGTATAATATAAAATTAAGACCCTTGATATATACTTTATATTTGATTAGATTAAGTAGAATTTATTGCAGATTAAGTAAACAGAGTTGTTTACATTTTCATTCCTCTCCAATTTGACCTTGTAAAGTGATTTGTTTTCTATTTAAATTAAATTCTATAAATGTGCGACATGCAAAATTGTTTGAATTCATTCACTTTTTAACTCTGAATGGATATTTTTCGTAACCGCATCATTTTTTTATACAGAGTGTAACGAAAACACCTAGCCAAACATTAATTGCAGATTCAAATTAACAAAAGCAATTTCTATAAATATATATCCGGAAATGCCTCAATTTTAATATACAGGGTGTTAAAAATTAGAGATTACAAACATACCACCGCTGATTTTGCAAATGGGTGTATGCAATAAAAAGAAAATCGACCGAAACCTCTTAGGACTTGTATTCCCTTTTTCACAAACAGTTTTCCAGAGAAATTACTTAAATAGTAGTTTTGGTGCTTATGCCCCTGTGCTATATCAACGATGATATCATTTTACCTCGATAAAACTTCAGCAAACATTTTACGTTCGATTAATATAATGAGTGAAATAATCTTTCCGAAATAGAACGCAAATATCAATTTCCATTGAATTCTGACTTATGTGCAGGCTGGTGGATTCAACCACGTCCTGTCAAACCTCTACCCCCACCACAACATCCTGCACACGACGCAGACCACCATCACGGCAGCAGCAAAGTTGAAAGACGCCGCGAAGAACGCCTCGGAGCTGGCGAAATCCAGGGCCGTCCCCATCTACGCGTCTCTGCATCCGAATCAGTCTTAAGAACGGCGGAAGGGGCGTCTCGAAAAGGTATTATACGAATTAATGTTTAGAGTAAATATTTGTGTCCATCGATGGAAAATGTAACTTTTAATAAAAAGTAATGTAAAATAAGGCTTAACATAGTTCTTAATTTGTTTAACGGGAAAATAGCTGCAATATTTGTTGGTATAGAAGTTGAAATTACCAAGATGTAGGTGTTGGTTTGCCGGAGAGATGTTTACGTTTAGCGGGTAGGGTAAACGGTGAATTTCTGAACTTGATTCAATTCCATATTAAAACATTTAATACTTTTTATACACGTTTTCTTCAATTTTTTAAGTACGGCTAGTCAGATTTTATATAGGATGGAAGTTTTAGTTTTAGCTGTGTATTGTTGTAATTTTCGCTAGGATTAGCAAAAGTTGTTTGTAGCTTGTAATAAATTGTTTTAAAGAGACGAAACTTGATTTTTATTTAAAAAAATACTATAAAATATAAAAAATGCATATATTATAGGAAAGGAGGGAATTTAAACAAATTTGTGTGAAAAAATGTAAAGATATGTAGAATACCAATAAAAAACAATAATAATTCTTAAAACCAGTACAAATATAAGTAGAGTTTGACTCATTCATCTTAACGACGTAATAAAAATAAAAAACATAAAATTGACCCTTACAGCTGCCATACTGGGTATTTTTATTACATAACCTAATTTTGATGTTCCCTGTGTGTAATATTCTGATGTAAGTAGCGGATAATGAACAATTTCGATTATTGTGGTGCCTAAGTGACCATTATTCTGAGCCGCCTGCTTATGTTTTACGATTTTCAAAAAAATTAACAATTCAAAAATTTCAGAGTAGTATCACATTTTTTTACATATATCTCAAATAACTACCAACTTAATTTGCAATATTTACTCTTATTTCATGATCACTGGGAAAATTTAACTTTTACCCGATGGTAAGCGTTACCGAGAACCCCTCGTAAATTCCAAATGTTCTCGAAACTCTCCGGTTGGGTATTGTAAGAAGAGTCCACAGCTTTGGCCCAAATTTCAACCTGAAACGAAAAAAATTACCCCCATTTCACCCAACAAAGTCAAGGACTTACGCTTTCCAGATGTTTTTCTACGGGAATGCGAATCGACCACAAAGTCCAGGCCCAATGTTGAGGGGGCTCCGATGAGTCCTGACCGTCGAAATGGGCGACGTGCCAGGTTTTTCCCGCGTCGACGGTGACGTCTACCCTTACTATTTTCTGCCCGCCCCCTGACCAAGCGTACCCTGAAACACAATATCCAAATACACGTTTTTTATAAAAATGGGTAATTTTTCAATAGATGGCGCTTCGATAGTTTTAAAAAAGTATCAAAAGACTGACCAACATACCTCTCACGAGTATATGTCCGTCGACAACCTCGACATTGTCTCCGTTACACGGCTGGCAAATGGCCGATATAACCGGTAACTCCTGGATGGCCGGCGATTTGGTAAAATCCACAGTATCCCAGTCCGTACTGGGCGAGAACCCCTTGTAATCGTTCTGTTGCCAATGCGAGTCACTTTCCTTCTCGGAAACGGTAATTTTACCTGGAATAATATCCGATTCAAGATAAGAAGTAGCGGTAGCGTAATATCGATATCGAAATCAGTCAATACCTAACCATTTGACATTTCTCGCACCCACGACGCCTGGGACGACCACGCGAATCGGAAATCCGTGGTCTCTAGGAATAGGAACTCCGTTCATCTCGTAAGCTAACAGAACGTCGCCCCGTTTGTCCAAAGCCTTCCAGATTGGTATCGAGGCCCCGTACATATTGCCGGTCACATCGAAATCGATCCCTTCGAACTAAATTCAAACTATATCTACTACGACATTAAAAATAATGATGATTACCTTGACATGCTTGTAACGAGCATCATCTTCGTCAACGCCGGCTTTCCCAAGGACGTCACGTAATCGTACACCTGTCCATACCGCGTTACCAACTGCTCCGGGACCCCAATTAAGACCTTTCACGGGCTTGACCTTCAAAAGGTCGATTCACTTGATGAACTAACATTTATTTCCTACTAACCTTCGTCATGTCGCCTCTCCTGTTTCCAGCGCACATGATTGCCGCTGTTATGGTGCATTTGGGCAATTTTTTCAATTCGTCCAAAGTGAAAGTTACTCTTTTATTCCGCCCTTCCAGTTCCACCTCTAACTCGTACGTGTTAGGATCGATATCTGGTACCGGGAGATGATTTCTCACATAAAAAAGTTCGCTGAAATTCAATTTTAAAATAATCGCAACATACGTGAATGTTAAGAGTTCTTACTTGGGCGTTATAAAGCTTTCTACTAACAGTGGTGGAGGAATCTCTGCATTAAAAGGCTTTGCACTGGTAGGTTTTAGTACCGGGTGACGTACAGGATCCTTGCTGTACGGATCGTCCAAATCACTACTCAAGGTACCTACGTCCTCTTTACTGAGATTGCCTGTAGAATATTGTACTAGTTAAAATATATAAATTAAATCGCAGAAATACCTATTCGGTAACTTTCCAATAGCATATAAACATGTTTGTTTTCGTGTACCCCATAGAGAAGCCAAAACGGTTCCACTGAACTGCCTGCAGCTATGAGAATCTGATCTCCTCCAGGATGCTTGTCCACAAAATCCGTGATGTCGTACACACCTTCTTTATACGTCACCCACACTTTCGTGTCCCTAGAAAACGAAAGATACACACACATTCAAAGCCCTGCGAACGTTTTTACTTAGAAGTGTGATCACTAATTTCTCTCAAAGAGAACGATGGCAGCCCTTCCTTAAACTTTCCGGCAGTTCCACTTTCATCGCTACTTTTGCTGGCCTCTGCAAAAACGTATTTTCTTTGCTTGTCTGAAATGAAATCATTATTTCCTGAAATAGACAAAGCGGAATTGGAACCAACCAAATGCATAATATCCTAGGCATCCTGCAATCACAGAGCTAATAAGAATTTTATTGCAGGTATTCCACCTGGTTTGTTCATTATTGTTACTGTTGCTGAAACTGAAGGCTCTAGTAGACTGATAAATTGGTCTATAGATAAATAATATTCTCCTTACACTGAAAAAATGTATGCATCTATTTATGACAGCAAAATATTTAGAAAAAAATTACAAATTACCTATTCGCTAAAAATTTCATTTTTAAAGTTTGATCTTGTGAAATAAGGTCATGCACTTGTAGATTGTCATACCACCATCTATTTATAAATTATGTTAATTTAACGTATTTCCCCAATCGTTGGCAGTTTCTGGCTTAATATAAGTTCATCAATTAAAATTAACAAGGAATTAAAAATCCACTGTGAGTAATTAATAATATTCTTCTAATAAACGACACCGAATTGCTGTTATTTTAGCTTTTATTGCTCTAACTCTAATTACACGCTATTCGACTTGTAAATTAACGATAATTGTTTAGATTTAGCAATGATTTCAGATGATAAAAAATTATCAGCTGATTCGGATGCGGACATCAAGGATTTAGGTTAGTTTAAAATATGGAAATTTCATCTTATTAAAGAAAATTGATTTAATATAATAACGGTAAAATATAAACATTCCGTTTCTTAATCGATAAGATTGTTATTTTAATATGCAAGTAAAAAGTTTTATGTAAATTTTGTTCTTGATTTTAACTTTTGAATTTCGCGGTTATGGATTACTCACGAAATAATTTGGAGAAATAACAATTCTTGCATTGGTCACCCTGTATATAAAATAATATAAGTTTACGATAATTAAAATTGTAGTAGAGTGAATTCAGAAAAACAGCAGTAACGGTATATATTTTTTCAATAACTATATAATTATTTTAGAAACTTTTATTAACGTTCGATGGGCAATTTGTTATTTTCAGAGTATTGGTACCTTTGAGTTCAGGGGTTGGTAGTTAGGGTGTAAACTCGGCCCTCTAGTGTGAAAACTTCACGTCACCATTTGTCAATCATGTTTGTCATTATTCGTGAGAGATGGGTGTAAAATGGATGTGTTTGTTTACGAGCAGAAACTACCATTAAAATTTCATGAAATGACTTTGCGATCGCGATGGGAGGTTGTATAGGTATAACACGTAGTAGAAGTGGAGCTATCGACGATTCGTCTGGATCTATCAGTCGACCTAACTCGGGTAAAAATAACCTTGAATTGCACTTCTCAAGTAATTATATAAATCAACTTTGTAGGTAGTCAACGAAAAAATCATCCCTTGTGCCATGAAACGATCAGGTGGAAGTCCGACGTACCTCTAACCGAAGGTCAACTACGAAGTAAACGAGATGAGTTCTGGGACACAGCCCCAGCATTCGAGGGGCGCAAGGAAATCTGGGACGCCCTCAGGGCGGCAGCGGTGGCTGCCGAAGCTATGGACTACGAGTTAGCCCAGGCTATATTAGACGGGGCCAGTGTTTCCGTACCAAATGGTTATCTAACGGAGTGTTACGATGAGTTAGGTGCGCGATATCAGGTTCCGATTTATTGCCTTTCGTATCCGATTAATATCGTGAAGGAAGATGGTAGGGACTCGCCGGCAGAATGCTCAGAGCCTGTCGATGGGGGCACAGAGACTGTTTTAAAATTGCGACTGTCCCACTCGTGTTCAGATGTCAAGCTGTCCGTATATTCGACCGATACCATCAGTATGTGTAAAAAGAAGTTACAGGTAAGTCCATACGTTTGAAAATTCAGTTATGTGTATATATTTGCCACCTTGAAAAGTGGGTGGGAGAACAAATATAATACTTTGTGACAAATATGTAGTAAGGTTGTATTGATTTGTGGTTTGCTTATATATTCTTTAAATGTTTGTTTTCCAAGAAGTTTTCCATGCTTGACATCATGCATTAAGTAAATTAGGTGCTTCTCTGTATTGATTATTTTATAAGCATTTTTTTGTTTGGGTGATTGAAAATTTGCCTCATAGGTTGAGCAAAGTACAGTTTTTTTATTCGTTCTAGTAGATAGTTTTTGTAACAATGTTAATGCACCATTACATCTACAGAGCGGTATGACTAATAGGACATGGTGTTGAATACTGTGTTACTCAATTTGAATTACATTTGCAAAGATTTCCATAAAGTAATTAATAAATTAAGAAATAGTTCAGATAACTTTCCAGTGCATTTCTGTTGACTTTTGAACCTTAACAAAGTGCTAAAACCGACTCTTCAAATATACACTTTTTTGTTGTTGTTGTTGTAAATAAACTCTGTTCCAAACTCATCAAAACACATACCTCTTTGGATATGTCATAGTTATTTTCAAATAATAATTAACTGGTTTTTATAATGTACCGGTTACAATAATAAATAAAATGCAAGTGTTGTCACAAGAAAGAAAAGGAAATCCAATTGTTAATAATATACGACTTGCTAATCGTTTTTTAATAGGTATATGAATGAAAAATTTGTGCTCAGTTTATTTTGCATTTAGTGAGCATACGGTAGTTTTACATGAAAAAAAAATGTGCCAAATCATAGTCCTTGATGTGTGTGCACAAGTTGCTATGTCACAGGCTTAATATAACTGTTAAAATAATTTTAGAAACTGCCAATGTTCGGGAAAATTAAAGAAAGGTAATAAAAATGAACGGGTTTATAGAAATAAACTATTGCTCATCGCGTTATAGAAATCTAGAGGTTATATGTTACATGGTGGTTGAAAAGTTTTAATCAGTTGAATTATAATCAAAATTGATAAATGTAAATAGTAAAGCACAAACGGATACATGCCAGACCGCCCAAATAACAACCACAATAAAAACTAATTTGGTAACATTGAAAAAATGTCCAAAATTGGAAATTTCACCCATTTGATACCGTAATCTTATTATTAAAACTTTGTTATCAGTGTTGATCGTGGGAGGAGCATTATTGGAGTTGAAAACACCATTTAGATTGCCTTAAATCGAGTCAATTGCATGCAAACCGTTTTTCAGTGTCCGCATTCTCACATGGAATACAAATGCAATCTATTACCATCATAAATTGACTAAAAGTAAACTTAAATATATCTCTGACTAAAAGGAATGTATTGGAAGCATAAATAGCATCTAATAGCGTGATTATTTCCTATCTATTTAAAATTCTGACACGTATTCAGCCTTATTTATTAATATTTTATACCATACTGTAAATGGTTCATCTATTAATGAACGTAGAATGCATTATAAAATTGTTACGCAAGAAAAATCAGTGTTTAATTTATTTAAAGTAATTTTAATATGTTTGTATGTAAATGGGATGGTGATTTAATTGAATTTATTTAGAATTATTCCGAAACAAATATTACTATTACTATTAATAGTTATTCGTAAACAATTTAAGAGCACAGGAAAAAATATTTACCATTAAACTTGTTTCTTTTTTGTAGGGTGATTAAACATAATAAATATTGTTGACAGTACTAATAATAAAACAATGGGCCTGATAAGATAACATTAATTCCTTTAATTAAAAGAATTTGTTCAATTTAGAGATACCAGCGCACGTTGAATATCTCACATGAGTAGATACAAACATATTTTTGCGTTATTTTTGCATCTACAATATGGTCTAGGATTTTTTTTTTAAATAATAAATTAATCGAATAAAAAAATTGCTAATAAATTGACAAACTACAAAAATCATAGCAGGCTCAAGATTTGCAATTAGAACTTCAATTGTTTTAAACTCATTATATTAGTGGCCTTGTACACTTATAAATCGATACACCCTGTATATTCCCGGGTTATCTTGAAGGACGTTAAGTCAAACTGATAATGGAATTTTAAAAAATGACTAATGTAACAGAAATGTGTTGTTTATATTCCGAATAATTGCCTACGTTTTCGTTACAAAAATAGCTTGTAATAATTTATTGTTAATAATTAATATTCAGTACCTGGATGCTTTACCGTACACGATTTTATTTCTTTTCCTTGCACAATATTTTTACGACTTCCTGCCCGGTGAGGCACTTCGAAACAATACTAATGACCTACCACGACACTTTTCTTTATCATGAACGATATTTGGACCACCCCCGTCTAAATCTACTCCACAATGCTATGTCTTTTTAGAGCCAGGAGGGCATAGAATCGTCGAGACAGCGGTGGTTCTACGGGGGCAAGCTGCTGGGCGACAAGCTGCACGTGGAAGAGGCAAAGATACCATCCGGGTACGTCGTACAAGTGATCGTTAACATGGAAAGTTCGCCCGTTCTGAAGAAGGCTTCGTAGACGGGGAAGCCGAGCGTCAATTTCGGGGGTAAGTCCGACATTATCGTGAAACAAAAGACGTGTCGGTAGTAAAAATCGAACGTAAGGTGTGGTTAATCTAGAAGCCTTAGTTTATCTTTAAATGTCACTGGAGTCTATGTCGAGTGTCGGTTATCTCGCATTGTCTTATTTTGGAAAGTACTTTTTGATTAAATGCTTATTTTTAGCTGAAAGGATATAAACATGTTTCGATAATTTTCTTTGGGAGGAGATAAGGGTATTAGATGTAAATATTTGTATGCTTTACGTTTATAAAAATGCTAAATCTATGTCATCGTCAATTTTATTTCTCGTGTACGTATTTTCTAAAGATAAATTGGAAGGTATCGGTAATTACCCCTTTAGATATCACGGTTGTGTAAGTATCGTCATTGATATTTAATTTGAGCTCGGGATATCCATATTTTATGAGGAAATTAAATTGAGTGCATTTCTAGAAAGTACCGTTCAGCTAACACCATCGTTTTATTGATTAATTTTTGTTTTTCTTTACTTGGTATTGATTTTCATATCTTGTGTGTATGTACGACAGATGTTTAGTATATCGGTTTATTCAGACAACAATAGGCATTCAAACGAATATTAATAATAATGTTTGATCAAAAATCAGTCAAATTAGTAGTAATGACAGTAACAATGATAACAATTTTGCACGAGCGGATTTAATTAATCACTTCTGATAGAACGCGTCTGTCTTATTTCCCAAACATAATTAGCTGTTACCAGTCTAAATTATTCACTTCCGAAGATTGGTTTTTTTAATTCCGATACCATTAGCGTGTTTACTGTCCTGCCCCCTCTTGTATAGACATTCAATTATTGAATAAATAATTACGGAAAATCAATAGTAGGGGAACTAATCGGCGAATAAAAAGGGGGAAACGTAATTGGGGTGTTTTAAGCAATTACGGTACACTTTTAGTTACGTGCGAGTTTTTTCACACGTAACTAATAATTAAAGTATATAAGTATTTGAAATTACAGATTTTTTTTTTTAAGAAAACTAATAGCCATTCCAAGCGCAGTCTATAGCCATGAAATCGACAACTATTTTATACGTTGACCTCATTTATAAAGCATAATAACTTATAACAATAGTGATTCACTGTCCGATCGATTTACAGTTTGTTTAAACAGGAAACGTTTCCTTCACTTCTGAATCAAATTTAAACTTGATAAAGCCTATCACAATATAGGGAGGTGAACGAACTGTCAATTAACAATGCTCGAATGCTTGTTCGAAGATTCCGATCGCCTTTAGATTGTCAAATTTGCTTTTTTATTGTTTTTACATTTTGATAATTTTTGGCCCAATGTTGATATTCGTTTGTCCCAATAATAAATTCAGTTACGTTGTAGTTTGTGGTCTAGCACCAGTTTAGTTGTTAAGTTAGGCTACTATCGTGCAACAACTATTTTCTATACAGGGCGTTTCGCATAAGATTGGACACAAAGCAGGGAACTCAAAATATGGTGATTTAATGCAACTTGCCTTGAAAGTGGTTTCAAATTTCGAAAAAAATCAAAATCGGTTATACTTGTACAAAAACTAAATTTGGTATATGGTCTGAGTGTACCAAGAGCATTAATCGAGACAGTAATTAGAGTTCCCGGACTTGGAAAAAATTTTTTCAGCAAAGTCATTGCATTGTTTATTCAGCTTCAATTTCCTTTTTTTTTAATTTCGATACGACCATTTTTCATCAAAATATCGGGCTTTTAATGGAAAAGGATCCTTTTGTCTTCAATCATTGATTTCTAGCGACAAATGGTTGTACAGAGAATTGAAGCGCAGTTTCGAAAACTGGAATAAATTTCCTATAACATTGTTACCGTAACTTTTCAGAAAAAATGTTTACACGAATTTTTAAAAATAGGGGAAAAAATGGTAATTTGAGGTTTTTTTGAAAGTTGACGGGTAAATTAGAAATATTCACGAAATGACTAATGTTAAGCATGACCCAGAAAAACCCTGTGAAGTTTCATCTCGATATAGCGAACCGATTCTTTGTTTCAAACAGTCAAACTTTTGAAAAAAATAACGGGTCACGATTTTTGAGCTTTATCACTTTATCATGATTAAAATGAAAAAAAATAAAAATTTTGAGGTTTTCTCACATTGTTATGCAAATAACGTTTAAATTGATGGAAAAAAAAGTTTTTTTTTGTTTTTTCTGAAAAACCTTCCGGACATTGAAGAAAACAAAATCCAATTGTTTCCAGCATGATTCGGCTTTTTCGTCCTATGCTTCTGTTTATCAACTTTTATTTAAATTAAAATTAAAGTTGATCCAAACCAGATTTCGATCCCGATTTTTGAGACAAATTTTTAAGTCTGTAATCACTTAAAAGGCAGTATTTTTCAAAATACCCTTTTTCTTCTCTGAAAAAAATTTTATTTTTTTTATTTCATCAATTTAAATGTTATTTGCGTTAAAAATGTGAGAAAACCTCAAAACATTTTTTTTTTTCTAGTTTAATCATGATTACGAAGTGTTTAAGCTCAAATAACGTGACCCATTAATATTTTTAAAAGTTTGACTGTTTAAAAGTTATTTGTTTTTCTATTAAATTCCTATTTCAATTTTTTTCCTGATCGTTAACTTTAACATTTAACAATTTTCAATGATTTTAAATAACAGCTACAATACGTATAATTAGTTAACGTGGAAATCTTCTTGAACCTTTTGTTTCACATCAAAATATATTTATTTTCTTGGGAATTGGGTTCTGGTGTGATAGTCGGTTAAAAATGGATAAAAGAAACAGCAGCGATTTCTTTCTTAACGTTTCGTTCCTGATCAGGAACTTTTTCAAAAGGCTTTTATTGTTAAAATTGTTACTTAATTAAATAGAACCTAAACAACAACCATTTTCCTTAAAAAATTTTTAAAAAACTGCATCAATCATCGTATATTGGACAAAATATATATAGTGTGAAAATTTGTCCAGTTGAGTATAAAAGTAAGTTGCTTTAAATCAGCATAAATCACCCTGTATTTGTGGCACCTTTTTACAAGTTACAAATTGACAAATTTGTTTATCGATTTTAAAGCAAATCAGATCAGTCTCCAATTTATTTGCCAATTTATCGAGTGAAACATTAGTAAACGGTAATAATTGAACCATTTGTGACTTTCCTAAACACTCGAGAATTGTGCCATAAATAACTAATACAATTATTGATGTGCCTGTTGAGCAGGGTTCCCAGAATCAGTTTTATTGATTCGTTTTATTGTTGCTTTCACAGTGTCACTATAGCAACCTCAGATGACGACCAGTGAGACACCCAGGAGGGTGTTGTGTAAAATTCCCCAAGAGAATTTAGTGAACCAACAAACGTAGTTAGGATTTAAAACATGGACCATATCATATAGTTGTAAAAAAATGATGCAAAGAATAATTTCAACGAGATTTAAAGTTTTTACGATACTTAGGGTGTTTATAGAATAACTGACAGGATAGGTTTTGAAATCGATGATTTAAATGGTCAGTTATTTGTTGATCACCCTGTTGTTATGCAGATTTTCCGCGTCAAACTTGCATTTATCACATTTTCTTTGACTGAATATGATATTTTTTGTACAGTTCATATGTTCTTAAGGTTAATTCGCTTCTATGACTGGATAATGCTTGTTGTAATATATAATTTAATTTGCCATTACATTAGTCCTGCCCGTCGATGCATATTTAAACGAGGAGGGATGGATTATGGTTTTATTTAAGTTTTGTACGACATATTTATTGTATCGCGTCACTAAGATATTAGAAAACGGTGGGTAGATTAATCGATAACACTTTTATTGCTACTATTTATCGTGATATACGAGGGGCTCAGCATAATGACACGTACGTTGGAAAATATCAGGGAATAAATAATCACTCACGTTTTATTATTCTACATTGAAATGTTTCAGCATCGCCGCTAAATTTTTATGGTTTCCGTTATTCAGCAACGTGTATCGATCCAACAAAGCTAGCATTTATTTTTTTATCTCGATTTTTTTATAACGACATGCCTTTTCCTCAAATATAAGTAATTTTAAAGATATTTTCAATGCGGTCCATCCCTTGCAAGCATTTTGTAATTTATATTTGTAAATTTGTAAGTTTTTTGAATAAAATATTGCTTTTTCACGATTTTATCGCCGAACCAGGTGATTCGATTTCTGCACAAAAAACCAAACGTTTCTTTAGAAATTCGCACCACTCTGTTGAAATCTGTTAGAATCGTCAAGTTTAACCTTGTTTCCACAATAACACTAACAAATGACGACTTTCTAACATTTTTAACAGACAAATGTCAAATTTCTAACCTCAATCTCGGCGCCATATTTACAGATCTGTCAAACTGTCATGGCCTTCCACGGAAACAAATTACAATTTTGTTGCTTCTCTGGAAAATGTAAAACCTGCAATTGTTTTTACCTAAACAGTTCGTTGCGACGAAAGACACACTGTTCTTGTCTTGTAATTGTAAATGGCACTCCCCATTTGAATTCGTAATAGCATTTGTTGCCATTTCAATGTTTCCTGTATCCCTAATCAAATAATTTTCTTTTCATTTCGAGTGCAGTATAATTGCTCGCGGTGTAAAAGCGTTTTGAAACATAAACGCTCTCCTTACACGTAAGAATCGGTCGTTTTTCAATGCCGAAGCTATCCGTACTCGCTTTCACTCTTTCCTGAGCTTCGAACCCTATGAATGGCCTAAAACTGTAAATAGAAGCGGCACGCTTTATTTTTGTAAGCTTTAAACACTAGTAGGAGGGGAAATAACATTGCAGGTGACGTAACGTAATACTCACGATGATGAGCAACAAAGACTGGAAAGTGAACAATAAAAAAAAAGTCTTAATAATGAAAGAGCAATAGGGTTACGAGTCAAACGCGGGATCACGTGCACACTATATTCTCGATAGAAGTAATTTTTTTAATATTGAAGTGTTTTATAAAGATTGTATCGGTGTGTAAATAAATAAATAGATTACAATAAAAGTTTGTTACGAGTGGTGGTTTTTACTTCCTTTCACTCTCTCTTTCCCAATCCCGACGAATTTTGGGATCATTTATGGACGTATCGTGAAGAAGAGGTCCCCAGTTGAACCCTGAGGAGCACCCGATATCACAGCAAACAAATGACAGGTATTATGAACAAAAACTTATTCTTTCAATAAAAATATACATATATGCTGTTCTCAGTACAAATAATGTAAATGGAATTTATTTTGGTAATTTTTTAAGCTCGTGTGTCAGCCGGGAGGGTCGTTATGCCCAATGTAACCTACAACAATTATTAATTCATTGTTTCACTTTTTTCACATTCTACGACCACAAATACTTCACACTCAATTACTTCACATACGTATCTGCTTAGATTACTGATTCATTATGTCAGATGTGAAGTAATTGTATCCGTGAAGTATTTGCGGACATAAAACGATATTACTTGAAAATTGACATGTTTCATCTGGAAGTATGTTTGTAAAACTGCATTTTATGCTGTGACGGACTAGTCTTGATATTCCGACTCAGCTAACGCCTCATCCGTAACCTTCCAGATTCGTCCGTCAAAAAATTGTTTCATGTAGCTTTTACATAAAAGTTTGTTACGAGTGGTGGTTTTTACTTCCTTTCACTCTCTCTTTCCCAATCTCGACGAAATTATATTATTTTGGGTCATTTATGGACGTTTCGCAAAGAAGAGGTCCCGAGTTGAACCCTGAGGAGCACCCGATATTACAGCAAGCAAATAACGGGTATTATGAACAAAAACTTTATTCTTTGGATAAAAATATACATATATGCTGTTTTCAGTACAAATAATATAAATGGAATTTATTTTGGTAATTTTTTAAGCTCGTGTGTCAACCAGACAGCCGCAGATAACAAAGCCAGCGATCCTGTTTGGTGGCTAGCCGCGAGGCTGGTGGGTACATATGTCAGGAGGGTCGCTATGCCCAGTGTAACCTGGAACAATTATTAATTCATTGTTTCACTTTTTTGAGGGTCATTCTACGACCACAAATACTTCACAGATTCTATTACTTCACATCCATACCCATCAGAGATGTGAAGTAATTGTGTACGTAAAGTATTTGCCGACATAAAACAATATGACCTGAAAAGCGACAATTTTCATCTGGAAGTATGTTTGTGAAATCGCATATTATGGCGAAGTTGATAGAAAAATTAATTGGAGTTGATTTTAACAACAGAAAATGCTTTGACGGACTCGTCTTGATATTCTGACTAAATTACTAAACATTATATTGCTGACATTTTAAAAATTAATCTTCAACAATATAAATAAAACCTGTTCTTACGAAAAATTTGATACTGAAGTTGTATATTTTTATGAAAAATTTTGATTTTTAAATTTTGAGAGCCCCAGAGCAAAAAAATGACCGGATAGTTTAAAGAATGATCAATAATAATCAATACCTGCAAATATGCCAAGATCCCAACTGCAGCGGCAGCTTTGTAGGCTCTCGGGGGTAAAATCCTCTTCCTGGACAAATACCACAGGTACGTTATGACGCCTAACGTCGTCGTACCCAAAATCCTGTGATCAAACTGTACCGTGGTAGGATTTTCCGTGAAATTAGTCAATTTTGGCTTAAACGCTAAAATATCGTCGGGTACCCACTTATCTGCCATTTTCGGAAACGAATTATAAACCAGACCGGCATCCAAACCGGCCACAAACGCTCCTAAAAAAACAAAACGGGTAATATATACAACCTTTATTTTGTGGAGGCATTACCCGAAACGGCCGTGAAGAATATCAGCCCCTTCGACGTATGCGCTAACCAGCGGAACCTCCTAGACGCCTTTATCGCTTCCCTGCTCGCAATCGATACTGTTTCGGCTGGAATGAGGTGGTCCAAGCTCGACCACAGGAATAAAGTGTAGAGAACAAATGCGAGGCTGAGGTGGGCGGCAAGTCTGTATTGGGAAACCCTGGGCACGTCGCTTTCACCGTGAAACCTGTCCTCCAGGCCTGATTTCACCATATACCAGCCCATCAAACCCTGAAACGATACCCGATTTCATAAACGTCGTAAATTGCATCTGAAATATCCACCTGCGCACCGATCAACGTGCCAAAGGCCAAGACTCTTTTCTTCATGCCAGGCGTAAACCTGCCTTTCGCCCAGAAATACGCGGCGGGTATCAGGAAGATGGCGCCTATCGCCCTGCCCCATTGCCGGTGACCGTATTCCATGTGCCAAATGAATTTGAATTCTGACAGCGTGATGTCTTTGTTTTTTCTACAAAACGAGGGTTAAATAGATAGTACTAAGATCAAAACCATCTATACATAAAAACTGGTAGCTCTTTAACGTACCTAATTATTTACAAAATAATAGTGCATAGTTTGTATAAAAATTGAGAAAATACCTTGCAAAATGCAGATTAATAGAGCAAAACTGAATTCGTTATAGAAAAAATATGAAATTTATGAAATAAAGCTTGAAAATTCTTAAGATAGAAGAATTGCCACAAAAAGTTTTTTCGGTCGTTAAATAGTTATTATTACATTTATTTTCTTACTAATTTATTAGTATTTAATTTAATTTTGCATACGTTTGTGTTTTTCCATCTTTGGATATTAAAATAGAACAAGTTCTGATTCGTAAAGTATTTGTTGCACTGCTATTTTATTTAAACACCCTGTATATTAGCTGCCAAACAGAGAGGTCTATATTTTTCAATCAAAAGTGACTCGAACAATCAAAACACCCACCAAGCCAACAAATCAATAAAAGCAGTTTCCAAGACACCCTCCTAACAATCCATTACTACTGACATTGACCAAACGCTGTCAAACAAATTAAGGCTGCCTAAAAGTCATCCGCCGTGTTCCAGCAACCCGCGAAATGGCCATAAACCGCAGCAAACTGATAGAACACGCTCTGGTGGCGATACCCCCGCCGCCAGCCCGTTTTACTCTGAGCGAATGGCACCTTAACAACAGGTTCCGCAACAGGATCTGTCTGGACCAGCAGAAGCTGGCCGACTCCGTCATAGCCGAGTCGGACCGGCTGATAGATGTGGTCAACGAAAAGACGGACTTAAACAAGCGAGACGCCGATCATAAATTACACGAGAAGATTAAGGATATCGAGTTTAATCGCGACGAGATTAACAAGCAGAGGAAGGAGGTGTGTATGGAGATTGACAATCTGAACACGTATATGGATAGGCTGCACGACGCGTTGAATGCACTGAAAGAAACTGCGATGAGGGTGTGCAAGAAGTGCCTCATTCTGAGGGAGGGTAGGCTAGGCATCGATTTGTGTTGCGACGCCATCGACAGGGAGTTGAAGAAAGAATATCAAATTTTGGAAGGATCACAGAATCTGCTCAGGAGGACGCTGGAGCAAGCCAACGAACAGGTAACAAAGAAAATACCCAAATACCAAAAAATACCACAACTGCGAACTTTTTCAATTTTATTCTCTACAGGTGCGTCGACTCCGCTCGACCATCTACTTTATGGACCGCGACCTGGAGGACAAGGGCAACGTGCTCAAAATCGACTCGCAAAACTGCTCTCTGAAAGAAACCAGCCTCAACCTCAGCATATACTACGGATTTGCACCTCTAGACCCGTCCAACATAACCTTGGAAGAATGGGAACAGTACACGCGGGCCAACATAGAAAAAGCCGCGAAGGAAATCAACAGCGCCAGACAGTTGCGTTCTTACGTGGACACGCTGCTGAAACAGGTCATCGAAGACCTGTGCAACCAGTATCACATCGTAAACGAGGCGTTCCGCAAAAGGATCGAAGAGACGAAAGAGGTCAAGCTGAAGCTGGAGGTGCAGCACTCCGAAGTTGCCAGACAAGCGAACGAAATGACTAGAGCGATAACGAGGCTGGACAAAGCCATTACGGAAAAGGAAGGGTATATGGCTCTGGCACATACGAGACTGGGAAATAGAGCTCAGCGACCTGGCATGGAGCTGTGCAAGGATCTCGTGGAGATAACACTGGCGAACGAGGTGGGAGAATTGAGACAAAACGTGGCGACTTTGCAGCAGCAGAGGGCCGAGGCAGAGGCGTCTTTAAGGTATCTGTTGAAGACACAAATTCAGTTGGAGGAGGATATTAATATCAAGACGAATACTTTGAAAATCGATGAGGTCGATTGTATGACGCTTAGGCAAAGTGTCGACTATCACTCTTTCTAAATAAAATTTACAGCACCGATGGCTTTCGCTATTATTTTTATATAAAAAGCGACACAATTTGCTTGACTCGTGACCAACACTACCAAGACACGCACTCAAAAACTGTATTTTCAAACAAGCGTTATAATAAAAGGCTTACATTTTAAACTCGGGGTACTGTTGGTATTTCCTAAATTCCTCTTCCCATTCCGCGTCCGTTCTTGGCATTTTTTCACCAAGTAGTTTCCATGTTACCATCGAAAGTCCAGATTCGGTTAGTCTCGTTACCCCTCCTAAAATTTAAAATGCTTTTAAATTCAGAGTAATTAGACATTTTTAGGTATCGCACCTAGAACGACTGCTACAAATACCATTCCACCGCAGGTAAGTAGCCAGTACCCAACGGCTTTTCTACCTTTGTTAGAGACATCCGAGGTAACTTCAGCTGCTACAGTACCCGTTCCCCTCAGAAATTTCGCTATCTACAAATTTTTATGCGGTTAATATCACTTTAAAAATAAGTAATAATATGCCATCTCCTCTGCCACACTAGTATAATTTCTTCTAATGAGTGATTGGAACATTTTATTAACTTTAGAAGATATTATGTCTGTCTTACCTTTAAACCGTTACATAGGGTTTGTCTCTGAAAAACGGGTGTTCCATAGGACCTCGCAAGTACATTTTGGGCAATATTTTTGGAAGGGCCAACCACTATTTTTTTAATATGAGGGAGAATAGTAGCACTCCGACAAAACCGTGATATGCTCAACATGATTTGTTCATTTATTTATCTTGTACGACAATGCAAATAATATCAGATACGAGTTAAAATTACAACGAAAAAAATAATATATAGTCAATGATTTATAATTCTTAGTTATGTATTATAAATAGGTATATATATGACTAACTTTTTATTAAATACAAAAGTGGGAAAACCAACCACAACAATAATAATAAAGTAAGGTTATGTCTTATGTCACGACCATAGAAAATATTGTAAATAAGTTTTCTATGGTCACGACTGCAAAATCCTAGGAGTTTTCCATTTTCAATAATGTTTTCACGTTAGATGTGTACTTTAGAACATGAGTTAGTTCGGTTCACATGAATATTTAGGGTTTACGAAAATTAACTCGGAGTGATTTAGACATATCGTTCTCTCTCTCTAAAACCATAAGAATGATAAAGATAATGATCTGAGCACTCGAATTTTCGAAAACGCCTATTGAGTTGTGTTCTTGGATTACACGAGGCGAGTTGTTTTGTTTATAATTTGAATTCGAAACTATGTGATTTTAAAAATTCATAATTTAATATGATCTAACACAAAACTACTGCAATGCTATAATTAATGTCTATTTTTATTACAATTTAGTATAATACCTTGAATGTAGTGTAATAGGATAAATACAGAAACCAGAACATCGAACGAAACGAATCACTATTATTATTAACTTACCAATATACCAATACCATGGCCATGGGCGTAGTAACTGAAAAATGTACTGAAAGAAAATTATACAGATTTACATATTAAGATTTTATTGACTTGATTGATGATTATAATGTATAAAAAATGGAAATAAATACAATTGAATTAATATTTTATTTATTATAAAGAGATCAAATTATTTGGCAACTATTTAATAGTTTTTTTAATAACTTCATCTAATACAGCACAAATGCCAACAAGTATGACATGATAACCAATCACTATACTCAAAAGAACACCTATCAACACCGCACCTTTACGTGTAAATATAAATCCAAAGATTTTTTTGCTTTTATTAGAAAAATTGGAACTCGGTTGAACTGCCACATTAGAGACCATCAATAATTTCTTTATCTGAAAATCATGTAAAATATTCATTATTGCTTAAGATCCCAACTTAAAAAATAAATACTTATAATGATAATTATTTATTGTAAATACTATTTATAAGCAATACCTTCAAATTATCACATAAAGTTTGTCTTTTAAGAATTGGTTGTCGATAAAATCTAATCATTCCTATTCTTGGAATATTGTGAGAGCTTCTCAGTAATTGTTTAATATCCAGAAGTACTTTAATATTCTTACAGCACTTTGATAAACCAAACACTTTTTCCATTATTAATTATCTTAAAAATATGTTCAATTAACATATTAAACATTCAAACATGAATATTCATACAACAAATTCAAAAATTAAAGTAACGACTAATTATAATAATATGATTGCCCTTCATTATATTAAAACCATGTGCAACGCCAATCTTTATCACAGATTAGATAAAGTTTTTATAAACTTCGGCTTAAAATGAGATTGCTGATAACCGAAAACTAAGGTTAAGTGAAGAGTGAACTCTGTCACTTTCTGAGATAAAGGCAAAATAATCACAAATGGTGCACTGTAAATAATTAAAATGGATGATAGAGTTAAAAATACAAGCATTCAAGAGATTTTCCACAAGATGGATTATGGGGAAAGCTACGAAAAAGTGGATGAGGCTATTGTAAGTTGTTTTATGTATTTTGATGTACAGATAAATATTTTTTTATATCCTTAGGAGTGGATAAAGAATAAGGAGAGCTCATTTTTTGCTAACATAGAAAAAAGCACTGAATCTGTAAATGGAACGAAGGTGGAATTAAAAAACCGTATTAACGAAGAAATGCTTTGTGCACAATATGTTCCAGAGGCAGAAACAGTAAAGAAAATTCTATCAAAAAGCAATGGCAAAGTCAAGTGGATCGACATTAGTGCATTTCAAAGAACAACATTGTTAAATAAGTATGTTTTCGTGTAAATGTTTCGTCCCGCTCTGACTTACATGTTTTAAATTCAGGTTAGCAGCGGAGATAGAAAAAAGTGCAGGCGTGCTATCTCAACTAGAAATTGTCTGCCGAGGAATTTTGGGCAGAGATACAAGAAGTAACGCAATACTGCTTTTAGCTCAGTATTTTTACTACTATTCGAATTTTGCTATGAAGTACGGTCATGAAAACCCCAATTGGAAACCTGAAGGTAAGTGAAGGCATTATGGAAGTGAATTTTTTTCTATAACAAATTTAAATTGACAGTTTTGTTTTTACTTACAGAGAATAAATTAATTTTCCTCTTCCTATTTTAATTTGAATTATTTTTGCTGTCTTCTTCTTCTTCTTCTTCTTCTTCTTCTTCTTCCAAAACACACAAGTGACTAAAGGTTCTGTTGTTATGGCATTCTTTAAATAAAATGGTTAGCTGCAGAAAATCTATTGAAAATTCTAACTACAATAGTTCTTTGATTTGAACATAACTATGTTAATAAAAAGATAAATCATTGTCTTTAATTAAGATAATGCTTCTCAATAGATATGCAAGTTATAGAGTTTGAAATTTATAAATTGTTTTCATTTAAAGGTGTAGCTGTTGGGGTAATTTCGAATGAAAACGTGTTATCAAATCTGGGGCTAATTTTAGCTCCTGCGTTAGCTTCTGGATACAATGTGGTTTTACAAGTAGGCACCGCTCTGTTTCCTACAGTAGCTTTCATAATCGAACTCGCAAAAAAAGTAGGGTAGGTTATTTATTATTTTCATTTTTTGCATAAAAAAAAGTAAAATATCTTTTTCAGAATACCTGAACAAGTTATAAGACTAATACCGTCTGACGACGGAGACCTCCAGCCATATTTAAGTAGCGAAAATGTGTCCCTGCTTGCCTTGCTTGTAGACTTGAATAACGAAAAGTACGTGGGAAGCAACATTTTGAACAAGAAAATTTTGAACTGTAAGTTACAAGGGTTTATGATAATGTATTTATTTATTATCTGTTTCGTATCGTTTTAGTATCTTCCAACAAAATACCTGTAATTATTTTTGATAACGCTGATTTGGACTCTGCCTGTACGAGTATTATAGATGCTGCGTGGGGATATCAGGGTTTGGTGAGGAAAACATAATTTAAAAAATGTATTATTTTAGTTGATTCATTGCAGTTGCCTTGGTCAGTTAATACTATAATAGTCCAAGAAAATGTTGTTGACAAATTCTTAAGTAAATTGAAGACAGAAATACACGCGACAAAGGTTGGCCTAGGTAACAATAAATTGGTTGATATTTCCTCCACCGGCGAGTCGTCTTTCAACAAACTCGACAAACTAATCAAATCGGCTAAGGATCAAGGAATAGAAGTGTTTCAAGCCACTGAAAACTTGAAGTCTTTCACTCCTACATTGTTCGTGGGCGGGAAAGTTAGCACAAATAGAGTTCTTAGTGCTGACGAAGACCAAGACGCGAACGTGGTTACAGTCATCGCTTTCAGATCGATCGATGAAGCTGTGAACTTGGCTAATAATTCCAGGCAGGGACTTGCGGCTTCCGTTTGGACGGAAAACGTAGGGATCGTAAACGAAGTCGCTAAAAAATTAAGAGTAAGCAACCTGAAAACAGTTTTAGAGGTAGTTCACAATGTTTTTTCAGGTAAATAACGTGTGGATTAACAGCCACGGGTTAACCGCACCAGAAATTGCTTTGTGTCCTGTGAAAGACAGCGGTACGGGGTATTTCGGAGGTAAAGAGGGGTTCTACGAATATGTACAAGTGAAGAAAACCACGGATTCGCCCACCACCTCGAACGCACCAACGAAAATTAGCAGTTCCCAGGCCAGTTTTGTAAGTTTCGCTAAAAAATCGCAAGAGAACTGGTCGAGGCTGTCGAAACTCAACAAGTCGAAGATATTTCAAAAGTTCGCCGAGTACGTAGAGTCCAATAAAAAGGAATTAGGGTAAGTAATGACGTGTATTTTAAAAACTTTAACATGGCATTATAAACGTTTCTTTTAGTGCTTCGATGACGAGCGTATTCTTGGACGAGTGGATCGCGGAAATTTTCCAATGCGTAACGGAAACGAACAACAGTAACACCACAACTCAGGCAGATTACAACGTAGTGTCCGCTCGTGAGCCACGCGGCGTCATTGCTATCGAAAACGAGGTGGAATACGAGTTGAAAAATATCCGATTGATTCTAACGGCTCTGTTCGAGGGCAACGCCGTCATTCTCCTCACCAACTCCACGAATTCCTTGACGTTGTACAACGAGCTAAGCACGAGGTTGCCGACAGCCGTCTTCACGGTTTTAAGTTATAACTTGAACAACATTCAAATTATATCTGCGCATAAAGAGCTGGGGGCATATTTCGGTGAAGGGGTTAATGCCGTTTACAGCGCTCTACCTCTGAGAGATTCTAAGATTTATACGAATGTAAGCAATAACTGGAACGATGTTTATAGGAAAGTAACGTTTTCAAAAAACGTCTGGTCAAACATCGGGAAATCGAGCACTTGCAATTTGTCTACTTATTGATTTTTGTTGATGATATTTTGTATGTTACCGAAAATAAATGTTATATTTCTAATTTTTGTTTTCTTTAAAAAATTGTCCAAAAATAAAAATGAAAATTAGGAGGCATTGACACGAGATTCGTAAACTAAACAAAGCGCTTTAAAAAATAGTAATAAAAACTTATTGAAATTGAATTTATTGTAAATTAGAATAGTATTCTGGGGAACACATATTATTACCTCTGAAAACTGAAACCCCCTTCCAATTGCAATAAAAAACAAATAAAATTCTTAAAAATAACATTAGAAATAGAGATATTTGAATAATTATGATTTTTCTTAAACTGCAATAATTTCTTTAAAGAAATAATATAAGTTTCCCTGTAACTTTTTTGATACTTAAATATTTTCGATTCATAACGGAATGAATTTATATTCATATATTTGTCACACATTTAATAATCGTTGCTTTAACTTTTTCATTTAACCAAGTGATAATTAAAGTGTTTAAATAATGGGTCATGAAACAGCTGTTAATGGTTCACCTTAATTTTAATTAACAACTTAACCATTAGCATAGCTGTTTTGTGGTCAATTATTTATGAAATATTTTTTATTTTTCTTTGGTGTATTGTATTACATTTACCGCTATTACGGTGCAGCGACATCTATTAGACAGTAGAATTAGATATCACTCTAATTGTCCTTCTTCATGCAGTAACCTTAATTATTTTATGGTCTATGGTTTCCGAGTGTGTCGTTTACCAAGCTGGCTACAGATGGCGCGCTCTGCCGCTACTGCCGACAGAAGTCCTAATTTATTTTTTACTCATGGGTAGAACTGATTTATGTCAAATCGCTGTTTTACATGGACAATTTATTCATGAATAAATTTACCAAGTTCTTCATGAATTAATTCAGGAATTTATTTGTAAACGGTTTGGTTTTACACTGCTACAGACTTCAGAGAATTTCTTTGGCACATGAATCGGCTCTACCAACAAATCAAACGAGCAAATAAATTTCAAAAATGTCACCTTTGCACTCTTAATTGTAGTGATACAACAGCAGTACCGTTTTGACATATTATATAAATATTAGTTTTTGTAAGTAACAAATCAGTAAAAACAATACAAAACTAGTACGACGCCACACAATTATTTACATATTCCAATCCAATAACATAACCTCATTGCTGATCTGAGGCTAGAAATTTGTTGGGTTGGTGCTTCTGATTCTGAACTTCACGAAGAAATTTACGAAAGTTAGAACATGTTCTAATTCGTCAAGAAATTGATGAATATATTCATGGAGATAGTCTCCCTGAATAAATTCATGAAGTTGTTTGACAGCAGATTTGGTGCATTACACTTGTCCAATTTTTTGAAGAAGCGACTTCATGAATTAATTCATCAATAAATTGTCATTGTAAAACAGCTTAAAGAAATTCAAAAAGTCTGTATAATTGTAAAACTTTACAAATAAATTCTCCGTGAATTTATTCATGAATAAATTGTCAATGCAAAACAGCTATATTAGGAATCTATTTATTTGATCAAAGAAATAACCTACCAAAATTATGGCACGGACTTAGAAAACACCCTGTGCCAAGAAACTTTACGGTTTTTAATCATGTTGTTGTGACCATGTTGAAAAAGTTGAAATTGACATATTGACACTCAAGAGACCACAAATTACTGAACTATTCGCAGACACCTGTCAAAAACTGTTTTTAGTATTTAAATCATGTTTTTTGCAAAGTCTATAAATTTAAGAACCGCGAAAACCCTATTTTCACTACGAAATTTTCGTACAAACGCTTGTTTGCGCAGTGCCCTATCCGATTCGCCCAATGCCCAATTAGATAGGACCCTATTTGACAGGTAAGTCACTAACACTTAATAAACGGTATAGTTCATGCTGAACAAGGCGTACTACCTATTAGGTATATGGACCTGCCTGTTCCAGAATGTAAGATTCAGGCTTGCTACGTGTGGATCGACGGCACCGGCATAAATTTACGCTGCAAGTCCCGTACCCTGGACTTCATACCTTCGAGCTACAAGGAAGTGCCCCAGTGGTCGTTTGATGGCAGCAGCACCGGACAGGGCGTAGTACGTAATTCCGATTGCTATTTAGTACCAGTCGCCATGTACAAAGATCCCATCTTGCGAGGCAACGATAAGCTGGTGCTTTGCGAAACGTACGATTTGAACCAGAAGCCCACCATGAGCAACCACAGGCAGAAGTGCGTCGAGGCGGTGAGTAAGGCCTGCGAATACGAGATGAAATTCGGTTTCGAACAGGAATTTATATACGTCGGTTCGGATCGGAGGCCCTTTGGGTGGCCAGTGAATGGGGAACCAGGAAAGGACGGTAGAATTGTTATTAAAATATCGTTTCTTCATGTAATCGTTCTGTTAACACTTCAGTTTTAAGCTACTGCGGAGTGGGAGGTAACAATGTCGTTGGACGTGCAATACTAGAGGCGTTTTACCGTTGCTGCTTGTACTGCGACATTGAAATTTACGGTACAAACGCTGAGGTGATGCCGAGCCAATGGGAGTTCCAAACTGGCCCTACGTTAAACATGAAGGCAGGCGATGATTTGTGGATGGCCAGGTTTCTGCTCGCGAAGGTCGCGGAAGACTTCGGAGTGGGTATTTCTTACGAGCCTAAACCGTATCCACATTTAAACGGATCAGGTATTTACCAATTCGCAGGCACAACGGAAGTAAAGTATGTTTATTAAATGTTACTTAATATTTAGGTATGCACGTTAACTTCTCTACGAATAAGATGAGGGAAGAAGGCGGGTTGAAGTACATAGAAGAAGCGGTGGAAAAACTTTCCAAGACGCACAAGGAACATATTGCGGTGTACGATTTAAGCGGGGGCGAAGAGAACAAAAAGAGGTTGACGGGAAGGAACGAAACCAGCCACATCGACAAATTTACTTCGGGGGTGGGGGATAGGAGTGCCTCCGTCAGGATTTCACTGCTCGTGTCTCGAAACAAGAAGGGATTCCTCGAGGATCGGAGACCAGCGGCCAACGCAGACCCCTATCAAATTATTAACGTGTTGGTTAAAAGCATCATATTGTAATACAGCGAGATAAAAAATTATTAATAAACATCGGCACGATTTGCGAGTGTTATTTTGTCAGTAAAACGTTCAAATAGACCACAAATATAAACTTATAACAATTTATTTTTCATAAAATAAAACTGTATACGACAAAACTAATTTACAAAGAAATAAAATTCAAATATTAATATACTTAAAACGGGAGGTAAATAAATATAATATACATGATTTTTGTACAACTTACACAATATTGTGGAATTTAAAAAACTACAAGACTCTCAAGATGCACCAAAAGTCACATGATAGACGAGAAAATGCTTTCTATTGGATAGGATTACCCTAAAAGAAAAATTGTTTTAATTTCAGCGAATGACGTCGGTACAAACCATATTTGCAAGTAAATGTGAATCGAGAAGAAAAATATCTTACCCATTGACGAGCCATAATAAGAATTGCATCTCTCTCAATTTTAGGGCCAATGAGGGGATTCATTTGCGCTATATAGCAGCACAACCAGCTGAAAAATAATTTTAACTTTTATCCGAAACCAGTCACATGACCCAACATTTTTAAAAGATAGTAAATGTATACTTACAATAACCAACAGCACGCTCCTGTTAACATCAGAATAACTTGGATAATCCTAAGAAAATAAAGTTTTAAGATAAAGTCTAGCAAAAAACACGATTGAGCTTACCCCCTGTTAGGTCCTTTAGGTACGATTATAGGCAAAACACCGCCAATTCCTCCCCAGAGAACGGTGAATACGATGAAAGGGATGATGGACGCACCCATTTTTTCTGTGTTAGTGAATTTTCTCAATACTGATATAATAAAAAACAAGATTTAATCACGAGAATCGACTGCACAATGGTACAATATCACTTATCAATCATATGACTAACAGGTTCGCCAACTTTAATTAACTGTCACCTCCCATGCTTCTTTTTAACTATTGATTAGTGGCTATTGGCCAATAGCTGGTAGGTCAAGCAGCAATGATTAGGAAAGTATGGTTTCCGATCGCTACCAGTGTTACCACCATAACAAAATTTATTAAAACGGTATTTTTTAACCTACATGTAATTTTCAAATTTTGTATATCGATATTGATATTGTATATATAATACTTTATAATGGCAATTAATAGCAGACACTGTTTGTCCAAAATATTTCAACCTATTACTGCTGTTTCTAAAACAGCAAATATAGGCCACAAGGATGTAACCTCAAAGAGCCAAAGAGTTAGTTGCAATTACTTTTACTTAAATTAAAACTAATTCCCTCTTATTTCAGCTAATGTTAGAATTGGGTATAATCCAACAAGCTAATCCAGGCTCTTTTCATTTTCTACCTTTGGGCATAAAGTCTTTAAATAAGCTTAAAAAAATCGTCGATGATGAGATGTGTAAAGTTGGAGGACAGAGAGTGATGTTTCCCAGCCTAATTAACACAAAATTATGGGAAAACAGCGGTATGAAACGCATATTTTAATTTGAGGGCTGCTTTTACAATAACTTGTTACAGGTAGGTTGGAAAATGCTGGACCCGAATTATTTCAACTGAAAGATCGCCATGATCACAGTTACGTACTCAGTCCTGTAGGTAAATACTTTTCATAGAGGGCAGTTGTAAATAGTAACAAAACTTATTCTAGACTCACGAGGAAGCAGCTAGTGAACTAATTTCATCGGTTTCTCCCTTGTCGTACAAACAGTTCCCTCTGCGATTGTATCAAATTACTAGCAAGTTTCGCGACGAGATGAAGCCGCGATTCGGACTGATGAGAGGAAGGGAGTTTCTAATGAAAGATATGTACACTTTTGACATCGACGCTCAGTCTGCTAAGCGAACGTACGAAGAAATATGTGAGAGTTATAACAAAATTTTTGAAAGAATCGGGGTTGGGTTCGTGAAAGGTAAAATTGCGTGTAAATTTCCAGTCACGAGTTATGGATAATTTCATTTTGTAGTGCTGGGTACATCGGGAAATATAGGAGGTTCCTTATCGCACGAATTCCATTTTAAAGCCGACATAGGCGAAGATAAAGTGTTGTTTTGTAACGGCTGTAACTATTCGGCAAATTTAGAGCTATGCAAAAGTCACACTTGTCCTAAATGTGGGGTGGAAAAATCAGTCGACATAAGTAATTGCATTGAAGTACATATAAAAGGAACGATACAGTTAATATTTACTTAAATGCGTGGCTTTTAGGTTGGCCATACTTTCTTGTTAGGAGATAAATATTCGAAGCCGTTGAAAGCAAGGTTTCTATCGAAGAGCGGCAAGCCAGAAGACCTCCAAATGGGTTGTTACGGTTTAGGTTTAAGCAGAATTTTAGCTGCGTCGGTCGAAGTCCTCTCGTCCGAACAAGAAATGCGTTGGCCTGACACCTTGGCCCCTTACAACGTAATTATCGTGCCCCCAAAGGTCAGTTTGAATTGTTCAATATAAAATAACACCATAATTGGACTTTGTTGTCGTTAGGCTGGAAGCAAAGAAGAGAAAAGTACAAAAGACGTTGCGGAAAAGTTGTATACCAAAATCGAAGACCACATACCCGAACTTAAAGATAACGTACTTTTAGACGATCGTCTATTTTTGACCATCGGCAGGAGACACTTGGATGCGCGAAGGGTCGGTTATCGCTATGCGATCGTTATAAACCAGAGAGCCAGTGAAAATGTACCTCTTTTCGAACTGAACGATATTAAAACTAACGTGCAGGTTTACTTGGACGAGAATCAGTTGTATCAGTATATTAAGGAAAATACATTATTATAATATTAGATATATGAAATATAATTTTTTTTATGCAAGATAATAAACTTTTTTATGTGTTGAGGAAAATTATTTCAGGTACATTTCATATCAGATTTAACACACCACTAAAAATGGGCCCCGTAATCAATGTTGATATTGTGCAAATGGATTTTGATTTTTTTAAGAGGGCTATATAGCAAATAGGCAACCAGCAATACATTTTTAAAGATTTTGTTGCTTTTGGCATCGTAAATAACAAATTTCTTTAAAACAAAAAGTAATTTGAGTTTCAGACTAATTCCATTTTATAGAAAATCTGCATTAAAATGGGGGAAAGTCTGTTATTTGTGCATTAATTCATATTTAGACAAACTGTGTGTAGTAACATGAATCAAATATTTAAAGAATCCCGCGCGATTTACTTATTCAAATAAGAAGAAGAAGAGGAGATCTGGATAAAGTGTTCAGTGTTCTTAATCTTAGGCTTATGGTTAGTTAGAAAAAAGAAAGAGGTTATGTTATGTGTGAAAGAGAAGCGTTGCTGTTAAGATTTATGTCTTTATGGAAAAATAAAGTTTTAGAGAAAAATATAGTGTGCCTTCCTGAAACAACCACCCAGATAGAGCTCCCTAGATGTGTAAAAATTATCTTAAAATCTATCAAAGTTGTTATATTTTTTTTAACTGCACATAAACCCTTGTTACGTCACTAGTCACTAGTGTGCAGCACCCGAATTTGGCCGTTTGTGTGCCCTTAGCAGTGCTGCCCGTTGTTTTGCCTTTTTAACTTGCCAGGAAATAATTTTGTAAAATTTGATCGTAACATTTTATTTTAGTCACCATAAAAAATAAATAGAAGTACTTACTATTCTGATAGATTTAAAATAATTTTTTAATAAAAATGTTACTATTTTTAAAGCACTTTGTTTAGTTTCTGAATCTCAGGGTTAATGCCCTTTGACATTGACCAAGTTTACATGAACTACTTATTTTGCCATTTGATGAAGGTAGCGTGCTTCTGTGTAATGAAAAAATACGTTCCCAATTGAGTACGCCAGAGCACGAAAATTGCGAAAAAAGTTAAAAATATTCAAATTTAACAATAAATACGTTTTTTTTCTGCATAGTAATTTATTTATCTGTTCCAAGTTCTATTTAAATACGAGAAGTTTTCGTACCAACTATAGAAGAGGTCAGAGTTACGGACACTTCGGTGGGTCTAGGGCCTCCCATTTCGACATATTGCCGCCACAATTGGCACTGCTTCTTCCTCGCCTCTTTCGTCGCTTCGGTCTCCTGATACTTCGTTGGCCCTTTTGGTAGCGTGTCCGACTTTGTACTGAAAACCAATTCAAATTTCTTTTTCAAATCCTCCCCGTTGAAATTCCTCCACTTACTCGTATGGGAACAAGGGTGGCAAAATGAAGTCCGGTATGGCCCTCATGGTGCTCATCCTCCTGGTGGTTGACAGTTCCCTAGGCTTCAACATCGGGTCGAAATATTTCCGGGGTATTCCTAGAATACCGACGGGCACTTGCAATTTCTCCAGCTGCTCCTCTGGCGCTGAATAAGCCGCTTCTAGGAAGACCTGTCGCCTGTCGTCACTAAAAGCATTTAAAAGTACGTGGATAAGGTCTGCGACTTTCTCAACTTAATTCGAGTACCAGTGGATGTCGGTAACTCCGATAGACAGCATTCTGTAGTCGTGATTGTCCAAAATGATTTCCTGAATAGCCGGGGACCTATGCAGGAGCTTCTGCTCGAACCTGCAAGCTTTGCCCATGAGGATTCTGTCTTCTTCCGGGGTGGTATTGAATGCCGCGTTTTTCACAAGTTTGTGCTCGTATGGACTGAATACTTTAGTCCTTAACAGTCTGTTCAGCTCTTTTTCTAAACGAATATATTTATTATTTTCAAAATTACGCCTTTTCAACATAAGATCCTTCAAATTCTTCCGATAATAGTCTTTCTACAGCCACGGTTCCGAAATTAGCCTGCGATATTATACCAACGCACTCTTATTAATAAATAAGACACTTGCAGTGTATGATCCCTTGTAGCAAGTAGTGCATAATTTTACAGGTATTTTGTGTGTTACGTATTAACATGGACGTGTCGATGTATTCATGGCATTTGTTATTTTTATGGACGGTGTTATTCTTTTAAGTTCGCTCACGTAAAGATTTCTAATCGTAGAACTGAGCTGGTAAAACAATGCCGGCTAATTTTGGGCCGCCCGTGTACTTCCAAACAACGAGAAAGGTTTCAACTATAAGTAACTAACCGATAAGTGACAGGTATCTCCTGCACAGTGCAATCCAAACCACTCTCGTCGCCATTAACACAAGTGGTTCGAAAAGCCTTCTATCTCTGTCCGAAAACGACTCGTTGTTTTGGTTGTTCATGTGATGGAACTTCTTCGCATCGCCGATACCCAAGAGAATAATAGCGTAATCTCTAGCCACCATGCTGCGCATGTCGGAGAGATCATCCCGGACTCGATTTTCTAAGAGCGTTACGATCGGTTGTCTCAGTTTACGTTTCGCCTCTTTTCTGCGTAGCTGCAGAGCATTCCAAACCTACCTCGGTTGTACGTAAAATAAACGATATACAGAAACGAACAGTTTATTTCTCATCGTAATCATTTTTACCTGAAAGTAGTACTGGAAGTATATTATCAAAGACCTCAGGAAGCGATCCATTGCCTCGGAGTGGAAATAACTGATGAATTCGGGGGTCAAGCCCGTCACGTCACAGGTAAAGATGACCACGTCTTTAATATCTTGAATGGTCACGACATCAGGTTCTGTCAGCTTCACTTTTCTTTGGTATATTTTTCGAAATTCTAGCTATAAGTTCGATTAATGTTTGGTCGATATTTTCTGAAATACGTACTTGGCCGATGGTCCCAACAGTGTCTTTAAAGGAAACGGCTGTTTGTCGTTGATGTTGAGTTGTGATTTGGGACATAATCGATGCTGTGGTAGGCAGAGCGGCTTTTCCGTACCCCGTGGAATCTCGGCTAAACAACACTCATTTTAATTTTGCCAAACATATTTATTTTATTACCTAACGAATAATAACTCGTCACCCATTTCGTCCCATATCCAGTATCCGCTCTTATAGGAACCCCTTCTTTCACGTGCCATGTTTTGACTTGAAATGTCACATTTTAATAAAGAAACATTGAAGTACACAACAATTAATGGTTTAATCAGGTATAAAATCTTTCACAAAAGCTGCAGTGTTAAAAAAATTCCTAATATATAGTTTCGTTAAAATGGATGACATTATAATTATGAGAGTCCACACTTTTTCACAGTTACACAGGGCTGAAAAATAAACTTATAATTACGGAACCAAAAGGGAAATCACAATACCTTTATAAGCTAACAATTGGGAAAGCGTAGTGTATATAGATATAAAGTGAAGGTGAAAATTATGTACACTCGTGTCCCATATTAACGATGGCAGGAACAAAAACAGTCCCGTACTGGATATGGTTACCATTTTACAGATCATGAGGAATGGTATTCCTGCTCGTTTCTTGAGAAAAGTATAGATAATCGTGAAGAGGTAAATGACTACCACAAAACAAATTGTACCTAAAAAGATCCGTATAATTAACTGCAATTAATTTCTTAGTAAACAGTTACACATTATCATATCGACTCCTAACAAGTAAAATTTTATATCTTCTAAATAAATATCTGGTTCCGTTAAGTAAGGTTCTGTATTGTTTAATTCTGTTTCCTTAGGAACATGTTTTACAGTTGCTGACCAATGTATGTAAGTTTCTAGCAGCAATAATATTATCGAAAGTTTCCAAAAATTCTGAAAATAATTTATTACAAGCCAAATACTTTTTGAGCTATTTATTCTACCTTAAATTTCGAATTCAGTAATATATGCCTATAAGCTATCAATCTAAGTAGAATCAAATCTATTATGATGATAACTGTATCATATTCTAAGTACTTGTCCGCTATATTTTTACAGTGTTCCTAAACAAAAATAATGTTAGAAATGTTTCAGTTTTTGTTTGGATTATATTACACATTCCGTTAACTTCAATACGGTTGCACTATATTTTTTGTATAGATCTTTAACAGGTCCGCCACAGTTAATACAAGTATAATTTCCACTTGTCGTATCCATTTCCCAAGTCTTATTAATTACATTTCATAATTATTCAGTAGACATAATATTATATGGACTTAACAAGAGATAAACAAATGTTTACAATTTCAAATTTTGATTTTTGACGCAGTCATCCACTGATCTGAAGTTGCGCTAATCCGATCAGTATGATAACTAATCGGGTAGGAAAAAGTAAAGCAATTTATAATAAAAAATGTTTGATAAAGTTTTAATATTTTAAATTTTATGTCTCAATTGTTCGTGTTGCATTCAAAAAATAGTTCCATTTCTTCAAAATGTAAAACACGTGTTGTAGATTTCGCTCAGTTTGCGAAAACTTCCTTGTTTTCAAACCCCCATATTTTAAAAGTTGGCGCAACTGAAATATTGTTTTGTTCTTGTCGTTCTTGAATGTCAACAATCGTAATTCAAATTTACACCTTTTTATCGATTAAACTTTTTTTCGATCCATTGCGGCGATGTTCGGAATAAAACACAATGAATGTGTTGGATTCGAATCAAAATGGAAAGTGAAAAAGTAAAAGGGACAATTTTCCTCTTTTAACTTTTATAATTCTTTTGTTGCCATTTTTTAGAGTGTCTTCGGAAACCTCTACCCAAACCACCGAGTTTGGTGTTGCGGAAAAAGGCACTAGTACTCAAGGGAAAATCAGTACTGAGGTAATTAAATATCCTACCGATTCCAATAATCTACACAATGTTTTCAGGTGCAAACAGTGGCGGACGAAACAGTCTTAAAAAAGTCTTCCGAAGCTGATATGGAAAAATTAGCCCATTGGCTGTCTAAAATATACCCAAGTGTTAAAAAAGAGATCGATAACGCGAATAATTCAAGAGCTTTTAGGGGATACAGACTGGCTAAAGACAGAAATGACGCGAACTGTAAACTTTTACAAAACTTGAACGTTTTTAAATCTGGCGAAAGTGGTGATAAGGTAGGACCGTTTTTAATTGATATTTATGTATTTGATTACGTGTTGTTTCTAGGCTACAAGGGTATCCGCATTGACTTGGAACCGGACCGGAAAGACTATTGCCATAACGTGTAACTATGAGCACACGTCTTGGTGTTATCACCTAGGGGAAGTGTTCATTTATACGCTGAACAGGTATGTGGTACAAGTTCCTTAGTCGAAAATGTAGCTTTATTGTTTTTAGAGATGAAAGATTACCTGACGTACCAAGAACAAAGTTGTCTACTGAAAGCTGTGTTATGAGTTTAAAGTTTCACCCCGTCCATCCAGCTATTCTTGCAGCAGGAACGTTCGCTGGTAATTGTTGATTTACCGTGTCACATTAGGTATTAAATGTGTTTGTGGTAGGGGGAATTATAATCTGGAACATACAAAACGACGAAGGGGACGATGTTGTAACCACCGCGAGCGCACACGAAGAAATGGTGACCCAGTTGTCTTGGATAACCGACATAAACTCCTCGAAATCTATCATATTGGCCTCGTCTAGCACCGACGGGCTTTTAAAGCTGTGGACGTTCAATGCAGCGAACGCAACGTTAACCGTCAAGGCTAAGTCAGTGTGATAGTCAGTCGTTTCAGTAATATTTTCAGTTTTGTTTAGGTATAAAGTAAAGCCTCCGATTTTGGGCAACGTTCATCGAAACGTAGAAACACCGGAGCATGTAGAGAAGAAAGGGGGCCGTGGCGTCGTGTGTTTCGATTTTTCGAGACACGTTGCCGATTTATTTGTTGTTGGAATAGAAGGCGGACTAATGGTGCAGTGCTCCGTGTTGGGCGCAACCCCACTTAAAGGTACTAAAAATGTTTTCTTTTCAAAACGTTTTTGTATTTTTTTTTTCAGGGAACACCAAGGAAGAACCTCTGTTAGATCCAGCGTTTAAATATTACGAGCCCCACGAAGGGGAAATAACGTCAGTCAGCATATCGCCAAATCGTAATGACATGTTCATGACTAGCGGGACGGACGCTGAGATCAGGATATATCTTTTTGGACAGGTGAGTGACGGATTGATCAAATTTTGCTCGTCACGTGATTTTTTGTTTTAGGAAGAACCCGCCCAAGTTATTTTCATGAGGAATCCCTTAAACGACCTAATGTTCGTGCCCCACGAGGACAAGTTGGTGGTCGGGTGTGGGTCGAACGGCATTATGGAGATTTTCCATTTGATTACGGGAAGGGCGGTGGAGAATGTTACCAAGGAGAAGGTAAACAAGCAAGTTCTGAGCAGTCTAGCGATCAATTGTGACAAGTACGTGATGTTTTCAGTGATACAGTTCGTCGAAATCATATTTTTTTAAATTTAGGGCGAGTTTAATTGCTCTTGGGACTCTTCAGGGCGATTTGCAGTTGTGGAATGTGCCTTGGCAGGCGTTTTCAAGAAACACGCAGTAGTATGTGATGCAGAATAAATTAGTAGTCAAAAAAATACTTGAAACACTACATTTCAGTTCTTTTTTCGATTTTTTTTGTACTTTTCTAATAATAAAGTGTTTTGAAAAGGATGTTGTCAATTTTTCTTTGTATTTTTTCTAATAATAAAGTGATTAGAAAAAGAAGTTCAAAATCCTGAAGATAGGTCGCTCCATCGCTACACACCATATTTTGGTGCCAGGATTATTTGAGAGCATCTGTGCTCCGTTATATAAATACACTCTGTATATATTTAATAAATGTTTCCGTGTCAAACTTAAATGTCAAAGTGGCAATGACGCGACTTCTTAAAGCTGTTCCTTCAAAACGCTCCTTAATTTCAATGTTAAACTCAACAAGAACCAAACATTGGTACCCCGATGCGGAATACTTCGCGCAGTTCCAGGGCCCCGTCATGTATCCCGACGAGGTCACCTCGAAATGGAAAGTTCCCCCCTCAAACGCCAAAAAAGTGCCCAAGGAAGTTAAAGTGCAAAACATGAATATCAACTTCGGTCCAGCACATCCCGCAGCGCACGGCTGTTTGAGGATGATTTGTTTGTTGGACGGAGAGGTAAGTTGGAAATTTATACGGTCGCATGTGGAGCCATCTATGTATTGTTTCAGAAGAATGCGTTTTCCGTCTTTTTCTAAAATACTCTTTTTATATCTCACATCTTTGTTTTACAATCAATGATAGGATGCGTTCTTGGGAGCTTTCGTTTTGGCAGAAATAGTATGTACCTATTAGCAACTAATATCAGTTCAGAGTAACTCTAAGTTGCTATTAGCTGCGAATAGCTATTATTTTTGCCCAATCGAAAGGCCCTCTTTTCGCAAATCTAGAAAAAATCCAGATCGCGTGGTCTGTCAAAAATGCAATATGGCGTGGTTTCCTAAAAGTGCTTGATTTTTTAAAAACTAGAATCGATGTGATGTAAATGAAACAATTATTTATCGACTTTCTGAAACTTAAAATACAGTGGCATTTTAAATTGACGATGGTCAGTACTAGATTTGTGGGTATACGAAAAGCAAATAAAAACTGTGGTCTTCTTGGTTGTCTATGAATTTACGATCACCGGTTAATTCAATTAATGAAGTCTAGATTTCGCCTAGGTTTGCGATTCTTTTCGGTTAGTTACTAAATGGTACCAACATAACTATTGCCAACTAAAGCACTAGAGTTTTATGTGCGCAAAATTCAAATTTAGAATCTAAAATAAAACTGGTTCATTATTAGGTAGTAAAACGTGTGGACCCCCACATTGGACTTCTACACAGAGGCACTGAAAAACTAATCGAATACAAGACCTACACGCAAGCGCTACCATATTTCGATCGTTTGGACTACCTGTCATGCCTCTGCAACGAACACGCTTACTGTTTGGCCATCGAGAAGCTTCTGGACATACAGGTGCCCAGAAGGGCCAAATTTATAAGAACCCTATTCTCTGAAATTACAAGAATTATGAACCACTTAGCAGCGGTGTCGTTTTTAACACTGGATGTGGGAGCGATCACGCCTTTATTTTGGCTCTTCGAGGAGCGGGAGAAGTGCTACGAATTCTGCGAGAGGGTGTGCGGATCCAGGATGCACGCGGGGTATTTTCGGGTGGGAGGGGTCAGTCAAGTAAGTATAAAGCAGGAAATAGGAAGAAAAATAAAATCGTTGACACAAAGTTGCAAAAAGTAAAATCTGTCGCTCTGTTTCAAGGACATACCTATAGGATTGCTGCACGACATCTACGAGTTGGTTTCAAAAATACCCGAGAGGGTGGACGAAGTGGAGGATTGTATCACGACAAACCGGCTTTTCCTTGCGAGGACGCTAGGAATAGGCGTCGCGACGGCTCACGGCGCCTTAAACAGAGGCTTGACGTAAATATTATTATTTTTTTCATAACTTTTATTAATAACGTTACTATTCCCGTGTATTCTTAGTGGGGTAGTACTGAGGGCGACTGGGGTTAAATGGGATGTAAGGAAAACTCAACCATATGAAATATACGACGAACTGGAGTTTGACGTTCCAGTGGGGACGGGTGGAGATATATATACGAGGTAGTTTCGGGTAATAATCAGTTTTACTTTAAATATGACGCATAAAATATCTCTAGGTATTTATTGAGACTAGAAGAAGTGAGGCAATCGTGCCGGCTCATAGTACAGATATTGAATAAGATGCCCGAGGGAGAGATCAAAGTGGATGACCATAAGATTTGTCCCCCTAAACGAGCTGAAATGAAGGTAGTTTTTTTTAAGAGCGTTTAAAAAAGTTATTATGCAATTTGTTGATATTTTTAATGTCTGTGTAACATTTTACATACAAAAATTACCGTATTCGTCTCAGACTTCCATGGAAAGCGTAATCCACCACTTCAAGCTGTTTTCTCAAGGGTTTCCAGTACCGCCCGGTGCAACGTATACTGGAATCGAGCACCCTAAAGGTTCGTTGTCGCTTGGCTGCCCTTTCTAAATAACACACTTATACGTTTTTAGGTGAATTTGGTGTTTACGTGGTGTCGGACGGCAGTTCGAAGCCGTACCGTTGCAAAATTAGGCCTCCAGCATTTATAGCCTTGTCCACCATGGACTATCTGATCAGAAGTAGAACTGATTTTCTTGCGGATGTGGTGGCGATTTTGGGTAAGTAATGAAAGAAATCTTCAGTCCTCTCTATAGAACACTATTTGACAAAAACGAACAAATAAACAAGATTTCAACATGTTTTTTGATGTAATAATACTTTCGTTCAAGTTTTATTTTAAATTCCAATAATTTTTCTTCTATTTCAGCATCACTAGACGTGGTTTTCGGCGATATAGACCGATAAGTATATTTTAGAGATCAATATTCTAGTACTATAAAGTTTGTTGTATCGGAAATAAAAATGTAGTGCTTGCTTTTATTTATTTTTTATTTACTTTAAAGGTATCATACGTAATGATACGTGTTTCCCTGAATATGTATCTGAAATTCTTTTTTTTAATCAAATAGTTGAGTTAAAATTAGTTTTTTAAAATGTGCTTTGATACTTGCGTACGCCACCACTGTAATCATTACAAATACATGAATTGTAGGCAATCTCTAGTGCATGTGAAGGGAGATAGTGTGGGTCAACGGTAACGAAGCGAAGAGAGACTACCTACTTTTGTGTATTTCATTTATCGTTATAGCTGCTCGAGTGTTTCGCTAGATAACTTATTAAGTACCGTTTATGTGGCAAACACCCACTCAACAAAATAACTCGCGGCTTGTTCAGGGGCGGGGTACGAAAATTACTAAAAAAAAAGGTTAAAAAAAATGATTTTGCAGTAAACCCTTGCTATGATTTTAATAAGTTGTACTGTTTGAATTTGCAAATGCCGCAAGCATAACTCTTACTTCGCAACGGTACTTCCTATCGAAATAACACAAGAGTATTTTTGATCGCAAAATCGTTTGCAATTTTCGAATTTTCATTTCGGTATGGGATGCCTTTGACCAAAGTTTAAAAATTGTAAATAAATAAAAATAATAACACCTGTTTTCAAATTTCAAAGTTTTATCTCCGACGGTTTTGCAGATATCCATAAAAAACAACCTAAAGGCTCACCTATCCGCCTTAAGAAGCATTTCTTTGCCCATTTTCTTTAATCTTTATCCCTTTGTTGTTTTGGTAAAATATCGTAGACTATAACTCGACGGATGCTTATTTATTCATTATTACGGTTTTCGTAGTTTTCTTATCACCGCAGTTTATTGTTTACATCAGTCTTACGAGTGTCCGAAATGGCTTGAGTGGATAACAACAGAATAGAATCGTTTTAATTTACGGTGAAGCAAGACGAAATGCATTTGCAGCCTCTCGCTTGTATGCCGAAAGTTTCCCAGGTGGACGTCATACACGAATTGTAGGCAACCTACAGTGCACGTGAAGGGAGATAGTGCGGGTCAACGGTGACGAAGCGAATAGAGACCCGCAAGGATTATTTATTTTTGTGTATTTCATTTAACGTAATAGAGACTTGAGTTTTTCGCTAGATTACTTGTTAAGTACTGTTTGTGTGGCAAACACCCACTCAACAAAATAACTCGGGTACGAAAATCACTAAAAAAAAAGGTAAAAAAAAAAAATTATTTTGCAGTACTCTTGCTATGATTTCGATAGGTTGGTACCGTGTGAATTTGCAAATACCAATATTTAGCACGTAGCATAACTTTTACTTTTTGGTAAAATATCGTTGACTATGACTCGACGGATGCTTATTTATTCATTATTACGGTTTTCGTAGTTTTCTTATCACCGCGGTTTATTGTTTACATCAGTCTTACGAGTGTTCGAAATGGCTTGTGTGGACAACAACAGAATAGAATCGTTTTAATTTACGGTGAAGCAAGACGAAATGCATTACCAGCCTCTCGCTTGTATGCCGAAAGTTTCCTAAGTGGATGTCATACATGATTGTAGGCAACCTACAGTGCACGTGAAGGGAGATAGTGTGGGTCAACGGTGACGAAGCGAAGCTATGCAACTGTCACATCAAGAATAGAAAAATAGAATTGGTCCTTTGTGCGTCGGGTGGGATGGTGGAATAATAACGAGTATTAATTCGTAATAGATAACATTTTATTGGTTTTGATAATATAGTAATTGAACTAACTCGTCGAACTAAATCAGTACATTCTTATATGACTAGAAAATTCTAATATACAAAAATTTTTACTCCCCCGCAGCAGCCACAGGCGTAGTTCAGAGTAATCGGTTGAACACTGGCCGCCAAATTTCAGGAATGTATTATTAAAAATACGTTTTACACAAAATAATAATGTAAGTTAAACAGTAACAATATTTTTGTGTTTTCAATAATAACGTTAAATACCGTCAGTTCCTCGCATTCTCTGGTGACGTTATAAGAAAATCTAGATCGTATCGTTTTTTTTTTGTTTTTTTTTTCACTAGAGAATCTGGGGAAGTTTTCTTTCTAATATTATAGCCACAGCTTCCTTACGAATAAAAATAAATAAATAAGTTTAAACTGCCTCCTGACAGGTTGACTATCCACTGATTTTTGTGGAAAAAAAAAACAACAGAATGACTAATTCTCTGTCGTTAAGCGCCGTGGTAAACCGCCAATCACACGACCCACGGCTCTTTGGTTGTATTATTTGTCTAAAACAATTAAAAAATAACGCTAGTAACAAACTTGACAAAAAATATACTATTCATCATTTTAACGAATACTCAGTCTTTTTTGTTCAAAGAAACGCGAGAACGCAATCTGATCTGGCTTTAGGCAGTTTCCAGTTCATCGTGGGCAAATTTGGAAGCACTCGTAATAACTAAGATTCATCCGGCGGCTCCTACGACTTGTACGTGCGGATGACGTCCCTGATCACCGCCCTGCACAGGGGGCAGTGTCCGCCCCCCTTGCCCCGCCACTGCTGCAGCGCGCAGTTGTAGCACATACACATATGCCCGCACATGTACAGCACTGCGTCTATGGGGTTCTCGTAGCAGATCGTGCACTCGGCCCCGGCAGTCAGGGTCGCGCCGTTTTGTTCGGCCCATGAGAGCGGTGTCGAATACGAGCTCGAGTCCGATATGGGCTGAAAACGAAGAAAAAAAAACGATTAACAAAGACGGACAGGAACACGCAAAGCAAATTGTATGCCAAAAAAACTGAACGTCAATCGAACGACCAATCAGGATGTAATAATAATAATAATTTGGGGGGTTGAAAATTTGTGAAAAATTGGATCACTGGGATTTTTCGCGAAAGTTGACGTCGAACAAAAAAGTATTCAATACGAAAGTTGTAGATCATGCAAAAATCTACAATTTTCGTAGAAGTCACTTTTTAAGATAACCTCGAAATTTCCGAGAAAAATGAGAAAAACGGGTTTTTTTCTTATTTTTCGTGTTTTTCTAATTTTCGCAAAAATAATTTAATTTTGATGAAACTTAGTGAAAGTATAACTTTCTGTGTCTTAAATAACCACAAATTTTTTTAGATAAAAAAATCAAGAAGTTTTCGATATTCATTTTTTCCCGTCTGAAACAATTTTATTAAAAAAAAAATTCTATTTCGGAAAATCATCGTACAGTATTCTGCCAGTGATAATTTTTTTCGTTTTGACATACTTTTTGGTGAAATAAAAAAATCTGTAAGCACAGTTCAAAAACATGCTCAAAAATGCAAAAAAATAAAAAATTACTTGCAACAATGAATATTTCAGCATCATAATAAACGAAAAAAAAATAAATGCGTGAGCAGGGACGGCGGAGGGTTGATTTGGGGGGTTGAAAAGGTATGAAAAATTGTATCATTGGGATTTCTGGCAAAAGTTGACGTCAGACAAAAAGTACCTATCTAATACAAAAGTTGTAGATCATGTCTACAACTTTTGTAGAGGTCATTTTTTAACATAACCTCAAAATTTCCGAGAAAAATGCGAAAAACAGGTTTTTTTCTGATTTTCCGTTTTTTATTGCTCATTTCCGCAAAAATAATTTTGACGAAGCTTGGTGAAAATATACCTTTCTCTGTCTTAAATAACCTCAAATTTTTTTAGATAAAAAAATCAAGAAGTGAATATCTCGGAGATATTCATGTTTTTGGCCTGAAACACTTTTTTTTTCAAAGAAAAATTCTACTTAAAAAAATCATCGTACAGAGTTCTGCTGGTAATCATTTTTTTCATTTTGACATATTATACTTTTTGGTGAAATAAAAAAATCGGTAATCACAGTTCAAAAACATGCTCAAAAACGCAAAAAACTAAAAAAATTACTAGCGACAATGTAGTAATTGTTGATAAATTGTTTAAATTTTAAAAAAAATCAAAAACTGATTACGCCATTCAATTGTACGGAAAAAATACAAAAATAACTGTCTCATTGTTTGACCCAAAACTTTATTTTTGTCTTGAATTGCTATAAACATAAGTTGAAAAGTGAATAAATAAAATAAATAATAATTTTTTTCCGTAGGATCGATTAGTGTACTTATTTTTTTTTAAATTTTGATGAATTCATAGATTTAAGTGTGTCCAAGATAATGATGGGATAGCTTTAGGATCTAGGAAACGGTAAGAGATACAGGATGGCTCAGATTAGGAAAAAAGGTGTTTTTTTATACATAACAATAAGCCTTTTAGAAAATTTTAAAATTCCAGGTAGTTCCGGAGATATCCGCAAAAATCCAAAATTTTGCAAAATTGTTTAATTTTTCTCTGGCTTTATTTGAAAACGAATTTACGAATTCATCAGGTTAATTTTTTTGAATACATCGCTGCTATTTTTATGACCAAATCTACAGTTATTTTTAATTCTGAATTAGACGATATTTTTAATTTGTTTTAGCTATCATTTAAAATTTTTCCTGAGTACGGCTCTGAGCGCTTTCAAAATATCTATTTTATGTCATAACAGTATAAAAGTATATAAAATATATAACAATTTTTTTTACTACTATTAGCAATACTAATTAGAAATAATAAAACATTTTGTAAATTTGTATTATTATTTTTTAATTATTGATTAAAAAAAATTGTTGGATATTTTGAAAGCGTTCAGAGCCGTACTCAGAAAAAATTTTAAATGATAGGTAAAAACCTTTACAAAAGTAAAATCTAATTAAGAAATAAAAATGACTTGATTTTGTCATAAAAATAGCAGCGACATATTTAAAAAATTTAACCTGATGATGGCCCCTCGAAGACGAAACGTGGGATTGCAAAAATGTTGACGCCATTGTATAGAGTGAAAAAAAGTGGCATTGTAAATATGCAATTTTAAAATTCGTTTTCAAATAAAGCCAAAAAAAAAAAATTAAACAATTTTGCAAAATTAGCAAAAATAGCAATACTGTACAAAAATTATGTTTTGGGTCAAACAATGAGACAGTTTTTTTTGTATTTTTTTTCCGTAGAATTGAATAATTTAATCAGTTTTTGATTTTTTTTAATTTAAACAAATTATCAACAATTACTGAAAAATTCATTGGGGTCATTTTTTATTTTTTTTTTTGCATTTTTGAGCTAGTTTTTGAACTTGATTATAGATTTCTTTATTTCACCAAAATGTATATGTCGAAACGAAAAAAATTATCACTGGCAGAACTCTGTACGATGATTTTCCGAAGTAGAATTTTTCTTTGAAAAAGAAGTCTTTCAGACCAGAAAAATTAAATATCTCGGAAACTTATAGATTTTATCATCTAAAAAAAATTGTGGTTATTTAAGACACAGAAAGGTATACGTTTGCCAAGTTTCGTCAAAATTAAGTTATTTTTGAGGAAATGAGAAATAAAAAACCAAAAATTAGGAAAAAACCTGTTTTTCTCATTTTTCTCGGAAATTTTGAGGTTATCGTAAAAAGTGACCTCTACAAAAGTTGTAGATTTTTGCATGATCTACAACTTTAGCAATGGATACTTTTTTGTTTGACATCAACTTTCGCCAGAAATCCCAATGATACAATTTTTCACAACTTTTCAACCCCCAAATCAACTCTCCGCCACCCCTGCTCACGCATTTATTTTTTTTAGGTTTATTATAAGCCCTTTTACCATTTCCACTTATAAAAGTCCAGGTAACTATTTTTTGTTTCTCCATGTGTAATTTGGTTGGACTATGAAGGTTGTGCTATTCGAGGTTCAAGGCAAATTGAGATCCGACATATTTCTATTGCAAACACGATTGATGCTTACCTCTACATAGTTACTGCTGCAGGTAGACATCATAGTTCCACTGGGTACGGCAGAGGAGGTGGGCACGGGTGCCATGACGGTCCCGGCAACAGGCGAAATAGGCGAGGGCGAATGGTTGGAGTGTCCCGGATGACCGATATGTTGACTAGGATGACTGCTTACCGAGTTCTGCGAACTGTGGTGGTGGTGGTTGACCGGCAGCGGTGCCGCCGGGGCGTTTATGATACTGGCATGGGTAGGAGGCAGGATAACGGACAGGACGGTACCCCCATTCGCGCTGGGTTGCACCTGTATGTCCGCCGGCGCGACACAGCACAGTCTGGAGTTGGCGGACTGCTGCATGGCGGAGTTGCGACGGATCTCCGACTGACTGTTAATACTGTTGATGGACTCGCTGGCCGTCGGGGTGATTATCCTCCTCTCGGGGTTCCTGGCGGGAGATACGGGGCTGGGGCAGCTGAGCACGCGGATGCGCTGCGTGGAGCCGTAGATGTCGAAGAACGCCCACAACCTCAAGGTTTGGTCTACGTGGATGACCACCAGGGGTGCGCCGCCGTTCCTGCTTATCTGTACCTCTCCGATTTGTGATATGCAGAAGCTTATTTCGTCCCCCTTGTTCAGGTTTCTGGCGAAATCCCTGCTCAGGACCCAATACTCGGGCCTGTCCAGCAAGAAGTTCGAATCATCGGGTAGGTCGTTCTGAGTCAAAGTGGAGGGGTCGCAAGAGGTGAGACCTAGACCCAGACAGCCTTGGAACATCGGTTCCGTAGCCAGGATTTGCACCACTATCCTTTCGCCTATTTGCAGGGGCCTTGAAGTGAACACGTATCCTTGGCAAAACTCGGAATCCGTTCTAAACCCTACGCTTCGGTTGCTGCTCATGAACCTAACATTCCTGCCCCTGGTCCTGTGGAAAGGCACCGCTTGGTAGTTGAGATGGGACGGTTGGTATCTCAGCAACGGTAACGTCATCTCCTCAGGTTCTCTAGGCGCCGCTTGTTGGATCGTCATCTGCTGCATGGGATACGTGATCCTCTCCACGGGGTCGGCTCTAGGAGCGACGATCTCGTAGGCGTGGGTGCCACCGCACCTCGTCGAGGAAGAATTGTTGAGCTGGTGCCGGATATCGACGAATTCTATGGCCGTGGAGTTACCGTAAACGTCTATTAAACACCACAAGGGTCCGCGCGTTTCGACGCTACTGAAAAATATCCCCTTCTCCTCGCCGTTGATGCCGAAATGTACGTCTCCCGTGGAGGTGACGTAGTAGAACAAGATGGTGCCCTGGCTGCAGAATCTCTCGGGGAGGGCTTTGGCCCAGTAGCCGGGCTTGTTCGTGAGGTCGGGACAAGCGTACTTTGGAAGGCCGTACCGCAGGCTGGTGGGGTCGTTGTAGGTGAAACCGAACCTTATCACCCCGGACCAGTTGTTGGATATCTCCAAAAACTTGATGCAAACCTGAAAGGGAAACAGATTTTAGTAAGTCAGGGTGTGAAACGGCTTTTGCATTAGTAAAACTTGCTTAATACAATTAATCTATTTCATAAATTTCAATTTTATCATAATAAACCCAAAAAATAGCCAGAATCTATTTCTATTCTTGCCCCGTACAAACGCCTACCTTTTCGTTGATTTTGACGGGGCGCGAGCTGAACGCGATGCCCTTGCAGAAGCTTTCCACGCGTTTGGCGACGGTACCGTCTCTGGATATCCTGATGTTCTCTCCGTGGACATTGTGGAACAAGAGGGGGGGAAGATTGTTGGTACCCCCACCGTTGGAAGAAGACCTGGAGGCTGTAACGAAAATAAAACCTTCTTAATGAAAAATGAAGTAAAATCATGCATGATTATGAGAATAGTGACATTTCAAAAGAGGCCCAAAAAACAATCCGCAACATAAGGAGCATCGGCTTCTTGCACCTGCGGAAATCGCGTTAACAACGCATTAGAGACCAGTAGTGTTTGATCAGCAATCACGTGATCCGATAAAAACAATTCTTATCAGCGCAATTGTTCTTGTTTCGTTGGGATTTATAAATCAGTAAGTTATGAATGTTTTTAACTGAAATTTAATGAAGTTGCCAACTTGGGGTTTTGAATCTTATCCACAGACGCATTAGAAGGTTTTGCCGATTGAATTTTGAACGAGGCGCATATGTCAGGACATCTGCAAAACACAAAACCTACGTATATTATTTGCGAGAAAGGAGCTTATAAATATACGTCGAGGGGTTCGAGTACGCCGTATCCAGGTGCACGTGAATATATCTGCAATATGCTCAGGGGGAAGACAGCTGTTTTTACCGAGGGGAGGAACTCCAGGTAGAAAATCCGGTCTCGGAATTGGTAGGTACAATAAAAAAAATATACCGGAACTGTAACAAACATTTAGGGCGCATAAATGCGGTTCAATGATCACTGGTGATTTTCAGATTAAAAATTCACAAATTCTTGATTTAATAACGTTAAATTTAAAGTTAAAACCAGAAACACATTGTTGGCACTCGAGTTTAAGTTATAATATGTCGCTGGAATCAAAGAAAAATAATACAAAGTGCCAGTTTACTTTATTTACTTGCAGTAGGATCGTTTATTTCTCACCGCCTTATTAATTCAAGGCCGTTAATAAGGCAATGACTAAAATAACTCGTTAAAATTATTCGACGCTGCCGTAACGTACTTTCCCGAATATGATAATGGCCCCGCCGACTCGATATGAACGAGATAAACACAAAGAAATAATAGGGTGGCAACTCCACCTTATATCCGGTGCTAGCGAAACCGGAAGCGCACCACGTGCACAAGAAGCCGTGGCTCGAACGGAGCGGACTATATTAAATTACCGATCTTTAGGTGGTAATTCCGGCGACGAGCAGGATGAGGATCGTTAAGGAATCGTTGTATAATATCAAGTAGGCGGTTTAACAATTGAAAGTAACGACTCGGCGATACGGCGGGCTCTTGATGGATCCGCCGGCTTGCTCGCGCTTTCTAGGAGGAAACTAAGAAGGCTGTGGTTTTGTAACAGCGCACAATCGATTCGATTTAACCATCATTTTCCAGTAGATGCGGTTTTTGAAAGCATTATTTCTGCAAGTGAGGCTTGTACAAATGTACTTACAAATATGCAGATATACATATTTTAGCTGTACGTATAATACACTAATTTACTAAATTAACGAGGGTTCAAATAAAAACGTGGTCGAAGTTGGCTCTGACACATTGGACGTAGGGAGTAGCTTATAGCGACCAACTTAACCTCATTTCTCAACGAGCTGTATAGCAGCTGTCAGTTTCAATAACGTTAATGATTATATAACTTTATTTTAAAGAAGAATCGTGATAACAATAACAAACAATTAAAGGAGCTGCGGAAAGTGAAATGAAACCAGGCTTCATCAGAAGAAAAGGTGATATTATGAAGTTCACCGTAGTTGTTTAAAAACCGTTCACAAAATACAGCCCGTCGCGGAAAATCAACTTCATGAAGTTCTTGCTGACAAGTTAAACGATAGGAGAACAAACGCAAATCTTTTTTTAACACTGTGTGGCAGGTACCGACTGATACTCCCACCATTTGTGATAAAACACGTACAGAAGTTCTTGGCGCATTTTCCATTATTTGTTGGACATTTTCTTTTAATTCTTCAGTCCGCTTTTTAGGTCGGCCGCTTCTTTCTTTTCTTGTTACACTGCCCGTTTCACGAAAAACATTAACACAACGCTGAATTGCACTTTGAAAAATTTTGTACTCAACAACGCCGGGAAATTGATTTTGAAATTCTATGAAACATTCCTCAATAGAATACTTCCATATATTCCATCAATCTTGCGTCCATTTCTAAAGTAGGACTCTATGATAAACACTTTTTGTTCTTGAGAAAACACCATTTTAAACGCTTTTTAAAACGAAAATATTCAAATTGATAGCGGCGATATAGCGCTTTGACAGATGACGTTTAAGTTCATTTGCTATACGCTACGCCCTACGTCCAAATTTTCAGAACCAACTTGACCACGTTTTCATTTGAACGCTGGTTATAATATAAAATATATAACTTTCCCAAATCCTACTAAGCTACGATTTTTTAGGGCAAAAAGGTAAAAGCGCGTTAAGGTCCATTTTTATCGATTTGTTATTTTCATGAACGGCGTTTCTCTTTTAAGTACCTTTAAATATTTAAAGATATGCATCTAATTCATATTTTGAAGTGAACTACGCAGTATTCAAGTAAAATACGGCGGTTTGACCTAATAGTGAAATAGTGGATGTTATAAACGCAATTTTGTAAGCGGATTGGTACAAGATCAAAGAAATATTCCAAATGACTTGCCGTAAGACATTTTAAGGAAAAATTTGTACAAAGACTTTCAGTTTTGAGAATGTGTTCAACGATCCTGACAGGATGGATTGCGACAGGCCTCGGCAGGGTACAGCTCAATCCCCTTTTCGAGCAAACGATGACAAATATGTGGCGAATTATTTCCATTGCGCAAGGGGGAGATAATCGGCGAGGGTGGACACATGTGGATGTTGATGCTCGCGAACCGTAATGCCATTATGGGGGCTTTAGTCAAGTGTCGTGGGCGGCTATTCATCCGAATTCCCCCGGAGACTCTCCATAGCGATGGGATAATGGAGAGAACGCTCAGATGCTTTCGCTTAATTCTCTCAAGAGAAGTCGAAGGGTGCGAGTTATTTTTAGGACGACAGCTGCCGATATCGGCGAATTTTTGGTTAAAACCTTAGTACGTTGTTTTATCTACGGTACTGGTATTTGTAAATTTTGTTAAACTTCGCGTTTACTCATATTAGGATTGGTTCCAAGTGTATTCCGTACAAGTCAGGGCCGTATTTAGGTCCACGCGTTGATACTGACCACTACATCTAAAAAAAATGTTGAAATATCTCGATTATATCTATTAAATTAACATAGTGCATTATATACTATAGTCCTGGGTATATTTTGTCTCTAGTAAATTTACTTTGCTGAACATCACCTCACAAAAAGCACATAACCTCAATTTCCAATTAATCGCCAACCGATCACTTGATTTATGTTTTTTTTTGGCGGTTGCATAACGGCAAGAGGACAATGAATGTTTCCGTGTGCCCCGAGGAGATAAATCTCGGAAATTTCTTTGTCTGGACGGAGGTAAGTTCCCACGAGGTTCGGACTAATGGGAAGCGGTACCCCGCGCTACGTAGTACTACGTTGTGTGTGTGAAACTTTCGACTTCATAAATTATTTAGTGTTTTCTTGCACAATTACGCGGGCGCGCCGTGTCAATAGCGACTCGTCAGGCCGGTGGTGGTTGTAATTAGACACGGGCTCGCCTTGTCTGCAGTTCGGTAACGCTAAGACGTATGACTGGTTGCATAACTTTGTTTTTTTCCAATGAAAAAACCAAAACAATGAAAAGCCTACATGCTTCTGTGTAAATTTTACCCCCCTGTTTATTCTGATCCAGTCGCCGTCGTCCCTGCAAACAAAAGACTGACGTAACGGATCTGCGCCTCCTCTCGCATCAATCACTGCGTCGTCGGCTATCGCGTTACGCACGAAGCCGGAAAAGACCGCGTTAGCTGATCGCGTTATGGCATCCTGATAAAAGAAATCCGAGGAAGCGTACGCTGCGGCTTCGCACAGGAAGGGACTTCCTATAAACAGCCATATCCGATACACTCTCGCGCTAATGACGGACGATCCGGCGGAAGCTCGAATCTTGGCCTACTTGATTCCATTCATTCTCGTCTTGCGGCCGCGCACCGTGACGTAGTAGGCGCGCGTTCGAGACCGACCGTCCTTCGTTTTCGAGATTGCAGCGAACAAAAGGTGCATTTTGCGCGGAACAATTGCTTGCGTAACTTTAGAGGGAGTTGGCGGCTGACATGGTTATCCAAGATGTACTTGCGTTACTTTTTGAAACACACCCGTAACTGGTTCGTCCAAAAAATTGCGTCTTCACAAAACTTTGATTCATAACATTTAAATTATATATTTTCTAGTAGGAATGAAAAACTAGGAATAATAAAGCTGCAAAGATATCGCTCCAGTAAAATAAGAAACAAAAATATGTGATACGGAATTACATATTAATCACAATTATTTTTAAATTGCTTTGCCTTTCTGCCAAACTGCCAAAGGTTTTATGACGGACATAAAAACCAAATAGTTTGCGATCTGATTCTTTGAAGTTACTTTATATCAGTGAAGGGACCTGTGCTTTGGCCTTTGGCTTTTATAGACAATAAAAATTTTACGACGTTTCGTCATAATCGTCAATCGCGTTTTTGTCATGGAAGCCATTTTGTATCAGATCGGATGGCGCGACATAAAATGACGCTTTGCTACGTACAATTCGATTTTCCCAACATAAAATGCCGGGAGATTCGTTTATTGTTTGCATTGTTAACGTTTTTTATTGTTAAGACTTTATCAATTGCGTTTAAATGTAAAAGGGGTTTGATTTAAGGTTGGCGTTTTGTAGACAAGAAATTGCACATCGCGGAGAACATACAAACGTCAGAAAATGTTTTGTCCAGCAAATTTGTAAAGAAAATGGCAATTAGAAATTGCAGGGATTAGTAGAAAGGAACTGTTTTGTAGATCAAAGTTATTCTGGCAAATGTAAATAGTCAAACTTATAAAATATGAATCCAGTCCCGATTTAGCGAAATTCTCAAAATTGTTCATTTAACGTAAACGAAAAATAGCCCGTTTTGTGACAAATCGCCCACTCTGACAGGGCTTCTCCGGATTTTTAGGTTAGGTAAGTTAAATTTTGTCAAGTAACCTTACTTTAGAGACATAAAGTTAGATGAGGTTAAGTTTCTTATGTAATATAACCTAACCTAACATTGTTTGACATTTCATGAGTTTTCTTACAAAAAATGTATTGGATTGGTTTGAATAATGAATAAACATTTAAAATAGAGTAAAAAAAATATAAGAACTATTGTTTTTTTAACAAAATTTAAGGTTAAGCAGAATATTTTTCAATTTGTTGTGTGTTTTATTCCAAATGAAGTTATTTGCTAACAAAATCGGCGCTGTGGCGTAATAATTTCCATTTACAAGACGCGTAAATACTGTTTTTTAAGGTTTACTAAACTTTTAACGTACAAAATCAAATGGATTTCCATTTCTAAAAGTTTTTATTCGAAAATCGGTAAATGCAAAATAGGTTCGAGTCAGTTAACAATTTCTGTAAGGCAGTGGGCACTGGGTATGTGGTGATAAACGCCAACGAGAGTCAAATCGGAGCCATCCCAGGCATTTCCAACGGTACACCTACTTGGTATTGTTGAACGTGGGAAAATTCCCTCTTGGCTTTTGCGGCTAAAGACCGCATTCGTCAAATCGGCGTGCCATCATTATCTCAACGACTTCAGGAATAATTTCGGGTTCCGAAAATAACGACTGGTTTCGGTTTAAGCGTTTGGGAACATGCGGCGGGAACGCAAGATCGCTGGCGCCCATGGGCGTCGCGGAACTCGTTACCCGAAGGACCAGAAAATCGAAAAATAATAAAAAACTATTTTTTTTTAACACGAAACCAGTTATGAGTGACAGTAATTGACGTACGTCATAAACGCTTGTTAAAAAGTTGGACTGAAGAAAATGTAACAGTGGAGTCGTGATTTCCACTCATCAGTCTAGTTGGCGAGCTCAGCAGGCCGAAGAACCGCAGGAAACTACTACAGCGGAAGGCTAGCCAACCGTACGAGAGTACTCATTCAAGATTTTCTTGCAATTATGTGAATTAATGTTAACTGTTTCCGACGAAGGCTATTACGATGTTTCCGACATACATATACGGTGCTTTTGACAGAAGCAAAATGCAAATTATAGTGCTTCCTTGAGTCCCGCGAAGTTTTTGATTCTTAAAAGTCAGATATGTTAATATAAATTCATAAAATAACTCAAGGTTTCTATTTTTAAAAGTTTTAAACACTGAACACTATTCAGAAATCTTAATGAAATGCCGTAAATCACCACAAAGTGACGATATCTAAATTACTTTCAAAAAGCACTCTTAGGGGGCTGGGAAACCTCGCGTTTTCTTATCAAGCGGTCCACGGTTAAACAAACACTCGCAAGAAACAAAACACCAACGCCTCTATTATTTATCCCCGACAAGTGTTTGTTAACCGAAGCCAACCGCGACACGTTCATTGTGTCGAGAGAGTTAATTTTAGCGCCCGTTCCAATTTGGAAACTTCCAACTATTTTGGTACCGAGGAGAGAGGAAGTTTCGCAACGCCGCCGCGCCATCTATATCAGTCGACTGGAGTTGCGCGACCCGCGAAACCTCCACGAATCCCGAATTTATTATTATATTACATTTTGTATTTACTCTACGAGGGATTTTGTTTTTTCAGGCGCCTCTCAAGCAAAATAAATAAGTTGGCGCTGGAGCGCATAAAAAGCCACTAAAACGTCGAACAGTTATAAACAGCTTATTAATTTTTGATGCGACCACGTCCGAAAATAAGTCCAACGTCCTGAAAACAAAACCGTAGAGCGTAGGACTCGTGAAAGCGGAACAATTTTCTCGCATTTTTCGGTCCATTTTCGTTAATTTGACGCGAGTAAATTGTCCGGAACATAAGGCGGGTCGTACACGAAAAAGTTGACACCCTAAGGGTAGCCATACACGAAAAAATATTTTTCATTTGTTTTAAAAAAATCAAGTATGTAGTTATTTCAATCCGATTTATTTATCACATCTGCATTACGGCATACCGAAGAGCCACAGAACGAAAAACGTGAAAAACAAAAGCTAGACGTGCCTTATGAGAATCGCACGGCCGACCTTATAAAATATGCGCGTCTGTCGCGTTTTATATTTCTCTGGTGTACAACCAGCATTCGAGGAACTGTGCCAAAAGAAATGCTAATTTAAACGCATAAGTGGATTGTCACTATCTAGTCACGAATTCAGTCAGATTTAGTTATTAGAATTAAATTGCAACCGGTTTTTTTAAATTTAAACCAATATTTCTTAAATTGTCTTCATTATATTCGTTTCAATGCAGTTAAATCTAGTTAGCTGTTACACAACGCCAATGTGAGCCGGTCGATGATCAACGACGGCAATGTCAGAGTTTGGAAAAAAACTTCATTGCCGAAATTGACGTAATGGCACATTTCAATACGATGTTGACATTTTTTTATCTAGAGTATACCATTTCTGTTGGTGACGGAGAAGAAATTATTTTTGCCGACCCTCCAACCCCTTACCACGAAACATCGAATCAAATAGTTAACTAGTGCCATGCATTTTTGATGAGTTTTCTATTAGTTATGAAAATATACTCTATATGTGGTCGACACCGCGTAATAATAAATAGCTACAGTTTTTCCTTGGGGTTTACTTTATCACAGAAGAGGGATGGGGTAGAAATCTATCCTAGACTAAGCCTAAGCCTTGGGGGACGCCAGATGCGGCGTCTCACGAGGATCTAATAGACGACAGCTGCACGTGATGTTTTTTTTTGTTCAATGCCACCTCCCACATTGTTCAAAACCGAGTATTAAAATAATTCCTCCACTTGTTTTTTGTACGCTATGTTTGGAAAGACCAGCAAATTATAGACACCAGATACTTGGAAACATCATAGATCGGGCACATCCCAAGCGTTAACGAGTGAAATTTCGATACGTATCGGTCGTTGTAAGTGAAATTGATTCGTTGTGTACGAATCCTTTCGACAGGATCATTATTTCAGGGCCTATGAGAGATGTAACGCAACAAATCGACGAATATGTTTGTTTTGTTTGGAAATCTCGGGCGCCTTATGAAAACAAACCGTTGACAATTGCCGTCACACGCGGACGTCTAGATTTTTTAGTAAAATATCCTATTTTTGTCCAGGTTTTGTCTCGATAAGTGAAAACATATCAAAGTGGAACACGGGAATAAATTCTTATTTGTTCGGTGTCTTTCGAATGTGAATTTTTCGGTTTTTCGGGAAACGAAACGGCTTTCACGGCGATTAGAAACGGCGGTCACTGCTATTACTACCACTACCACGTGGTAAAAGTCCATAAGTATTCTTCCCAGGCGACGGATCCGTACGATTAATTTTGGTTCTTCGACAACATAACGTCAAGTACGTACGGACGAGATTCGATTGTTTTCGATGACGTTATTTCACTTTAACTACTTATGCACGACTTAAAACGTTCCCACGGTACAGTAGCAGGTATACCCGCGGTTGTCCTCGTCGTTCACCAGGCCCGAGCCGGCCGGTTAGAGGGAGACGGCAGACCTTCGGTTATTTCACAATCCATTACCTTCTATTGATTTTATAAATGCTATTTTTATTTATTCGAGAGACCGAATAGGTTACGATTCCTTCAGGGTTTTGGGAAACTCAAATAGATCTGTTATCTTTTAAAGCCCGATTAGGCAGTGATTTTGTTGTTTGGACAGATCTGGAGACTTGTAAATATTTACAGAGATGAGTATTTACGTATCAGTCACAATAAGTTAGTCCTATTAATTATTATCGGCATTAGAGAAACAAGATTTGGTGTTTTCATGATAAAGAACAATTTCTTTAAAGTAAAATTCATTTAAAATATGAAAATTTACTCAAGTTTCCAACCTTAACAGACAACTTATAATGTCTTCAGATACTCGGAAATGCTGTTAAAATTTGGGTAATAACAGAATAATAATTTAGATTTTAACGTAAGTTTCTCATTTAACGACTTTTTTGAATAAATTTTTTATTTCCACTATAAAATAAACAAGAAATTTTCAAAATTACATTGCTTCATGTTTTGACAATTCATTGTTCAACTTTAGTGACATATTTTTTATTGAATATCAAATCTACAATTTTGACAATGTTTTTATTATAAGTATTTACAGGTTACATATTGGACCTACGTGTCATACATTTAAACAATAAATAGCCAATTTATTGGTAAATGTAAAATTGAAAAAAAAAGATTCAAGAAAAACTTTAAATTGTCACTATTAAAAAAAATCCAGTTTTTGTTACTGATCTACATTAAAAAGTGTACTCTTTATCTTTAACTAGGTACCTAAATTCATTGGATATTTCCATATTTGAGCAAATTACTTGAAAATCAATAAAATATGGTGAACCGCCCGCAAACAAGCTACCAAATAATAAAACGTTACATTTATATCTGGGTCAATATTGATTCAGCCTTTCCTGGACTACATTTAACGATTTTAGGTGCATGAAACAAACCGAAAGAGCGCAATAATTCCGCCAGTCCTTATCGAACGTAATACATTCTTTCGATTTCTACGAAAACATTTACATTACACCTATTTGTGAAGCGCAGATAGAGATCTCTGCCAAGAATTAGAAACCGTTCATCAATCGGAGCATGAAGCTTCGCAATCGCGTGAATTCCTATAAAATTCTGCACTAACCTAGTCCCATGCGGCGCTTGATCTTCTTCAGGACCTTCATTTTGCTCTTTAAGGGCGCGAACACGCTATCCTCCTTCTTTGAATCAGCTTTGCAGTGGCAAGCCCTGTCTTCCGTTATCCCCATCAATGTTAGAATGCACAAAACACACCAAAGTTGCACAGTTCACGCGAGGGCGACACGATTGGCCATGGACAGTTCTATTGTTGCTTTGTTCACCGATCAGCGACGACTAGATTCGTTCCGAAACTGAGCGCAGACTGCGTTTGATTACGCGATCGAGCTTGCACTGAATAAGTTCGGAGCTTGCAAGCTAGAAAAGTACACGAATTCGGCCGGGGGTGGGGGTAAAGCATCTGCAGACACGCGTCGCGGACCAATAGGAGGCGAGACACACGCCGTATGCTGGGTAGCAGCCGCCTGAGACAGATGTGACTCCCTATCTTCAATTATTTGAGCCGAGTTGTATCTATTTACCTGTTGTTAAGGTATAATGTAGTTTTGGCTTTAGGTGGCCGATCTCGGGCATGTTTTTTTTGGAGTGGGATCAGAGTAAACAGTGGAATTGTCAATAAGTTGATGAAAACTTCTATTAGGGATGTCTGCCGAGTCAATTTTCGGGTTGATTCTTTTTATAGCGTGTAAAAAATGCCCATGTGTCTTTGAGGCTTGAGTAAACTTTGTCACACTTACCGAAGACTCACTGAGTAGTGACAAAATATCCTCATTTGAATCTTAATTTCAAAAATTACAATATTTTGATAACAGTATACATACATATATTATTGGTAGCATCACCACCTAATCCAATGCTCAAAAATGATATCAAATCCGAAAAGAGTATGCTTTTTTACATTGAACATTAAAACAACTCAAAAGTTTCTTATCTTTCACTTTCTTTAAGCCTACTTGGGCTCAAACCAAAGACCTTATTAGAATAATTAAAGAAATTAAAAAGTGTCAACAGATCTACTCTTATAACACCCATAAATCAGTGAAATAACATCAATCTTACAACGCAACCCTATTGGTGATGACGTAGCACGCTGATCCGGGCAACTATTGGCAGCGTCCGTGGTTTTTGTTTTTAGATGATTTCTTTGTGACTGTTGGCCAGCTAGAGCCTACTTTGCGCGTCAGTAAAAACTAAAAAGCTTCTTGTACCGAGATTTCCGCATAGCTGGTAAAATAAAAATCTTATCTAATTAAGTACTCTTCATAAACACAAGTGCATGTGCGTGGTTAAATACAGTTAAGTTTATTCTCTGGGCGTGCGTGTGTTTGTTTGTGTGTGTGAAGAAAACGATGGGCAATTTCAGTTCTACCTAATTTGTACATAACCTATATGTATGGTGTTGTAATCATATTAAGGTAAGACGATTATATTTTCGTAGGGATATAGATTTTGTTAAACAGGTATCTTGTTAACGTTAAATGGAAAGTAATATGATTACAATATTAGAGGTTCTATGTAACATAAACTAAAGAATCTTAACGTCTAGGTATCTAATCTAGTACATCTACAGGAATATGCAGCGTATTACATAACCATGTTAAAGTTGGCTTCCTTTAAAGCAATAAAAATACAATAAAATGGCGGATAACGCTTTCACAGCTTTCTTATTACCAAAAAAAAATTGATTGCAATCGGAAGAGAGAAAATAAATTGGTTATTAAAGGTGATATTTAGTACAATATTCTGTTATACAGAGGTTTAGTTTCATATTGGCCAGAAATATTTTAAATACTACAAGATATATCTGTATTTGGATTTCTGGAAAGTCTAAAGATTAGTCACTGAATTACAGAAGTATGATACGTATTAAACTGAACAAATAATCTTTTAAAATTCATTATCTTAAGGCAAATATTCTAGTTTAAAAATCCACAAGGTGTGATTCACTTTGTGTTCTATAGATTTGAAAAATCAGTTCAAGCAAAATTCTTTAGGCAAATTTATGGCGATTGTAAGCTAAATACACATATATTCAATTAATAGATGACGATCAATTATACGTAGTTCTTGGAATTAGTTAAAGATAAATAGATTTCACTAGTAATGATAATACCTGCACGAAAATATATCTACATCTACAATATCAGAAGAAACTAATATTTAATTATTATAAAACCGGTCTTATTTGAAAAAAAAAAAAATAGCTCATTTTACATATTTGACTGTCATTTTCGAATGTGGTACTTTTCAACAACGTTGATTTTTGTTAAGTAGCCGGAATTTCTTCCCTTAATCACGTTTGTTATATACTGAAAGCATGTTACGACAAATTGTACAAAAATAATTAGTATTTAGTAAATTAATTGTATTAAGATACATTTGTTTGTAAATCTAATATAAATACTTGCAGACACATAATAAAAATAACTTTCTCTGTCATTGGCCTCCAAAGTTAAAGGTGAATCATGTGTATCGCTGTCCGTGTTCTAGTTATCAGTTTTTTTCCACTTTAGTGACCAATTTAAGGAAATTTTGAGAAGAACAAACGCCACTTCCGTCTTCTAGTGTCACCCTTCGTATATATAATACGATTACCGTTGGTAATACTGCAAGTTCACACTGTAATATGATCCAAATAAGTCTCCTATTTAATCCGCTTATTTCTCATCGCTCAGACCAGACGCCCCAGTCACATTTATTTACGTTCGACCATAACGGGACTCGCTGAGATTATTCCGGTTTTGGCGCGACGTGTTCATTATTATTATTATTATTAATGTAAATCTCCTAAAGACATAACGACTGTCTGTTAAGTAATCAGCGGGATCCTCGCCGTCTACCACAGTCCGATCGCTTCTGCCTACCTAAGTGGTTCATCAACTTTTATCGGCTCTATTGGTGCAGCCATTAGGCTGCTGCGGACTGCTTCCACTTCAGAAGACATAGGCTTTAATTGGTAACGAAGTGACGTTTCGTTTCGATGATGACTTCCTGTAACGAATGCGTATTGACGAGCAGGGAAATCGAAGGGAATTTTCGGCCGCTTTGGTGTCTGGTCTGATTAGAATATTTCAGATTTAAATTTTAAAAATTTAAGCGTTGGGGTTTTCTCTTTAAATAAAATAATGTCATTGTTGTAATACTTTCGGTTATACAGGTAGTCGCCGTCTGCTTGCTTATTTTAAAGGGAATACCCTGTATATTTTTGCACATTTGGATTCTACGCGTAATTTTAGGCGTAAACTTTTGTGGAATTTTACCCTCTATCCCTACTCTATACCTGTCTCTCTTAATTTATCTATTTCTGATGGTTTTTATGATAAATAATTAAAATGATACAATTTCTTGCGAGGATGGCTGTGAAATTGCTAGCAGATTTAAAAACAAAACAACCTCAAGAAATGTTAGGGAATTCCAACGAAAATATGAGTTGGATACGCTGGAAATTATATAAGTGTTATGTTTTTCATTAAAAAAACGTGTTGCTAAAAATTAAAATGGCGTGTCTTTTTGTGAATCACACTCAGAAAGAATATTCTAATTCAGTTATGAATTTAGATTAATATCTCTGTCGGAAGCCAATACAACCGCAATGTAAATAAATGAAAATTTAAATAATTTACATATGATATCATCGGTGGTTTAGATTGCGAGTTTTTTTATAGATATATGTTAAATGCTGAATATTAATTTACCTATTTTTACGAATATAAACATATATATTCGTCGCAGTAAAGAGGTATAGTGTGGAATCTTTATTTTTACAATTCTTCTATTGAGGGTGATTCTGGAATAGGTATAGTCTTTCCGATCTCAATTGAAGACCAAAGAGCTAGGCGGTATGTACCAGGTTCGGTCGTTACACAGCAACTCGACACTGAAATATTTGAAAAACTTGTTCCCATATTTATTCAGCCATACCCATCTACAGGTCTTATCGCCCATTTGAAAAATGACCGCACGGGCAAACGCGGCACAAACACAGCTGCACTGGGCGACGGCCATAAATTTCAGTTGTCGACAAATTATATAGCAGTGCAGTGCAGCAATGCGGAATTTTAATTTATTATAGGCACCTTCTATTAATCATTCATATTACAATTGCGAAAGGGAGAAATAAGAGGGACATTTTGTTTACTGATATTATTACAACATGGCATTTTGGAGACCTTTTGAAATGGAACAAAGCGAAATACCGCCAGACAATATTGAATTAGTAGAACCGGTTGTTGATGAAACAAATTTAGAATTTAAAAATAACGATTTGCATATTCAATGTAAGTGTCTCGTTTTAAATATTTACGATTGTTTAAAAAAGGAAGAAAATGAAAAATCAGATAATGAAAATATAAATAGAATTCAGATATTGATTAAAGTTTCGGTGTCCACAATTTTTCGTGCTATTAAACAAGGTGTTATAGATCAATGCGTAAAGGGGAAGCAAAAACAGAAATTTTAAAATATCAAAGGCATAACAATAGACGTAATTCGGAGGATAATTTATATATAAAGAAAATTGAGGACGAAAATAATTAAAATATGTTGTTGGTCAAATGAACATATAATAGAAATTTTCTACACATTATACACTAATGCAAAAAATTAAAGGGTCAAAAGAAAAGAAATCTTTCCGTGATTTTGACAGAAATTTGTCTCAAAAAACGGGATCGAATTCTGGTTTGGGTCATCAACTTTAATTTTAATTTAATTAAAAGTTGATGAACAGAAGCATAGGACGGAAAAGCCGAATCGTGCTGGAAACAATTGGATTTTGTTTTCTTCAGTGTCCGGAAGGTTTCCAAAAAAAAAAACAAAGAAAAACTCCGATTTTTTTTTCAAAATTTGTCTTTTTTTTCGTCAGTTTAAACGTTATTAGAGGTAAAAATGTGAGAAAACCTGAAAAAAAAAATTTTTTCCAATTTAATCATGATTACGTGTTTAATATCAAAAATTGAAATAAAGAAACGGTTCTCTAGATCGAGATGAAACTTCACAGGGTTCTTCTGGGTATATCGAACTGTAAAAATCATGCTTAACATTAGTCATTTCGTGAGTATTTATAATTTAGCCGTCAATTTTCTAAGAAACCATAAATTGCCCTTTTTTTCCTAATTTTTAAAATTCGTGTAAAAGATGAAAAAAATCAATTTTCCAAAAAATTGCGGCAGCATATTATAGGAAATTTATTCCAGTTTTCGAAACTGCCCTTCAATTCTCTGAACGACCATTTGTCGCCGAGATATCGATCATTGAAGACAAAAGGATCCTTTTCCATTAAAAGTCCGATATTTCGATAAAAAATGGTCGTATTGA